GCCTTGTGCTTGAAATCCTGATGGAGATTGACTTGACATTTCCACAAACTCTGTCAGCTCTGTTAATCTGTATTCCTGTTCAGCAGCAGCTGCAGGGTCTGGAGCATGTCCCCATTCAGCCACCCCAAACTGCCCCCTCCTGACTCCAGGGGGACCTTCGGAAGCATCAGTCTCTGGAAGGAAAGCTTGCAGTGCCCCTGTTTTGCATGTGTGCAGCATTCCCACTCCAGTGTGAAGAGATCAATGAGCAAATACCATTTGAAATATTGTAAACAGCTTGTCCACACATTTTTTCTGAAAAATGAATGCCATCTGCAGCACAGTAGTTTTAGGCCCTTGATAGATATTGCTCAGTAGCATTTTCTGCATCAGCTTTACATTCACAGATGGTCTAAAAATAGCTTTTCAGAGCAGTTAAGCATCATGTGAATGTTTTCTGTGGTCTGTGTCATGCAATTTCAGGTTTTTCCTGCTGATAAACTCACACTAACTTTCTCATTTTATATATATTTTATATATTTTCTCACTGCTTCCCTGAACCTTTTCTCACTGTAACAGTTTGCTTATGAGCACACAGCAAGATTCAGGATGCCCCCTGCACTGGAATCAAATATTGCTTAGAATATTGTGTGGGATTTTTTCCCCTTTGGCATTCAACCCTTTAGCCAGGGAGGTCTGTGAGAGACTGAATCAGTGGTCCTGAGAAAACAAATTGCTATTTTCCTAAGTTTCAAGTAAATTCATTATGGCTCTATGACTCATGTAGCTTTAATGGCCTTAGTGGTTTATTTATTAGAGTGCCAAGAGGCAATTTATCTTGTTTACTTAGCTCTCTAGTCACATGTTTCAGACATTTAAATAAGATTTGATTCTTTTAAAATACCTCCTTTTAAAAGGGCTAATAAATAGTAAAATCTATGAGATTATAATACTCCAAATTTCATACATCAAACCTTTGCCATGTTAGCACAGCACACAACTGTGACGACACAGATCACAGCCTTATTCAGCCTTTTTACATCAAATATTACAGAAATCTACAAGTTCTATCAAAATACACACAGTGAGTGCTAAAAATCCTTCATACCCTGGGGGACAGATTTCAGTGCAGACTCACTAAAACTTTAGATATGTGAAAACAGACATACAGTTTGTAAAGTCAACATCAACACTTTCCATCAGGAGGCACTCTGACTCAAAATCTGGAAACAGCATCAAGTGTTTTAATTTTTTTTGTTAATTTTTTTTTTCTCATCAGCAGTATGGCAGATCATCATCTAAGCTACATAAATACAGCCTGACTCATGAATTCAATCACACAAGCAATCCCACAGAGCATTTCCATGCTCCTGTACAATCACTCACTCCCTCGCTCACCTAGAAAACTCTTACCTTTATTGCCAAGTGCAGTTGCTTATTTTGCATCCCAGATTTATCAATCACAAATTATATGAGATCATGTCACTATTTTACAGAGTTGAAGTGTTTCATAAACTTAGATTTATTCTGGCTTTTTCATAACTTATGAGGTTGCAAAAATGGGGGAAACCCATTCTTGCATTGTTCACACTGCAGGTGACTTTAATCTGCCATTATGGTGGCTCTCTTCCACTACAAAAACAATAGCAAAGTATGGAAATGAGTGATAATGTTCTAACATACTCTAAACATTAATGACAAAGAGAAAAAAAATCTCAGATTTTTAATCTATCCAGGCCCTTCAAGTAGGTGTTGCTGCTCCCACCCCCCCAAGAACCATATTACCTTTGGAGCCTTATCCTATTGCAATGCACAGACTAAGGATCTTCTGTCTTTTCACTGTCAAGGATTGCTTTATTTGAAAACAATGAAGCTCCTTTAAAAAAACCCCAAAATACAAGAACACCAAAATATTTAAAATGGGTAATAATTATCCAAAGCAAACCAGATCCCTAGAGAACTCATTTAGTTCTTTTCAGTGAAACATGCTCTAAATATTTAAATTCTAATATGGTGCAGAAGCTTCAAAAAGCATCTTGTGTTTACTGAATAAAATGCTTACAGAATACAATCATAAAAGAAATAAAATTTTCCACAATTTAAATGTCACACATGGTAAAACCAGAGGTAGCTTTCAGAAGTACTCAAGTTGAACAGAATTTCTGAGTTTCTTTTTGGTCAGAGAAGCTTGTGTGTAGCATGAAGTTGCTTAGGAAATGGAACTGATAAAAATTCTAAAGGGTCTATTCTAAAACTCCTCTTTTGGGAAAGTTTTCATGAGGAGATTAATTTATATAAAGGTTTTATTAACGGGAATTTAGAAAATATGGGTAACTGTGATCCCATCCAATTAATATTAGAATAAAGGCAATTAGCTAAAGAACTTTGTCATGGCTTAGGACCTGGAAGCCTTTGTCAGATTCATAACCAGGTTTTAATAAGGTACAAACTACCAGAAATTAGGATAACTGCATGGAAACTGGAGCTTGCAGCAGGCAGCATCATGGACAAGGCTCACTGTGATTACCTACTCTGTGTGAGGCAATATTCATTGCTTCTGGCACACTCCAACAACTCCAAGAGCAGTTCTTGGGGACTGCAGACATGGCAAATCTGCTTCTTGGCAGCCCTTGTGCAACCCTGAGATAGGCAGAGAAAGTGATGGGGCATAACGAGAGAAGTTCTCGCATCACTTAAGTTCCACAAAAAAATGCAGCGTGACTGAACTGCCTAATGCTGGCACAAGATGATATTTTGTTCTCTTTTGATTTTCTTCTATACTTCCTTCCTAATCTGTTTCTGCTACTTCTTAATGTTTATTGTCATGCATCAGCTCTGCTGAAATAAACAGTGGAAAATGTGAGGGGGAAAAAAAAAAAGAAAAAAGGAGTCTAAAGGCTGAAATCTGCTGACTTTGGTTACTGTCATTCATACAAAACTTAAAATAAGTTCAGTCCATTCCAGAATCCACTTTAGGAGACTTAACCTGCAGGGTTTATTATCCCCAACAATACAGAAATTAAATTCTTAGGAAATTTCTTAAAAACAAAAATTAAATTACATATTCATATGTTTGGAAAGCTTTACCTCATCACACACATAAATTGCATGTTCACTCCACAAATTCTACTACGTCTTGTACTTGCAGAAAGTGTTTTTGTCTGATGAATAAATAAATGTGCAGTTTCTTTATGCACCACCACTGGCTGAATGCCAGAGCATCCCAGGAAGGCAGCAGGTATTACAAATACCAGGCTTTCCCTCAGACAAAACACTGCCTTACCCTTCTGAAACAACTGAACAAACCCAGATATTCAAAGTCCTGGTCTCCATTTCATTTATGACAACTGCTCACCAGTATTTTTCACCAGCTCACAGCACAACTCACGCCTCAGTCTCTCATTAAGAATTTGTCTAAAAAAGAAAGGGGGAAAAGCAGGCTATTGAAGTACCAAAGCTCACCAAACACCTAACAGTAGGCATTTTCAGTTGCATTTTATAACATATGGACAATTATTCTGAGGGTTTTTACGTGTGACTTCTTCATCTTCTAATTTTAAAAAGCAACAACAAAACCCCAAAGTGTGAAAATAAGGAAACTGAGAGCTTGCCTGCAATTCTGAACACATCTCCTGTCTTGAGAAGGTGTCCAAAGGGTGACAATCTCTAGTGACAAATGAGATACAGTGCAGATGGGGCTCTGTGTGTTTAAGGAGACATTTCTCCGGCAGTGAGAGTCTCCTCCTTTGCAGAAGGGACTCTTTTTGTGAAGCAGAGTTGCTTGGTGAGAATGAGACCATACTTAGCTCCACAAATTGAAAATTAATCATCATAATGAGGTCTCAGAGGCAGCCCCATTCCTTGGCACATTCAACCACCTCTGGGATTACACAACCACTCTTCTGCAAGTGAGAGAATTTCTCCTTCTTTTCTTCCTTTCCGTCTCTGAAGCCAGAATGGAATATAATTCCTTTCACCATATGAAGGATTTGGTCTTTACCTATTTGAGCAATTAGATCAGTTTTATCAGTTTTTTTGAATTTGGTTTTATCAGTTATGTTTAGCACAAATCCTATGTCACATGGAAGGGCAAGAGCCACTTGTTGGAAGTGAAGATGAGTTAGGCCAAGAACATCCTGTGATGGTGCTCAGTGATGTATCAAAGGTTAAAAAATGAAAACACAAACTCACCATATTTCAGCTGTTTGACTTCAGAATTCTAACCTAAGCAGCTCATTTACTCAGGTATACCACAGTAGGCAGCCAGGAAGAAAAACCAGTTCATATCAAAGGAAAAAAAGGAATATAAAGAAAAGAATCCTGCTTCTAAGTGCTAATATAGCTTGGTATGACAGGCCAGGACAGTTGCTGAGCAGTCAAGTGGAGCCAAAATCTACTATTACATGTCCAGAAGTGATACAGCCACAGTTAGCATGGCCAGCAGAGTGATCACAGATTAAAGAAGAAAAAAACAGGAATGGAAAGAAAGGAAAAAGTGTTGACAAAACAGGGAACATGAAGCTGCACTGGTATTTTATTTTTGTTGAAATAATCACTTTTCTCAAAAGGACTGATACCATCTGCAGCAGCCTGTGCCATTAAAACACCTGGGTTATAGAGATTGTTTTCTAAGGCTCAGGAAAACTTCATTTATATCCTTCCCTCCTTAAATAGTCAGCCAGCAGCCAAGCATAGAGAGAAGTATGGGTGAAAAAAAAGGCAAAAAGAAAAGTCAATTAAATCCAGGAAGCACTGCAGAAAGTTACTCCCTAATTGCCAGCATTATACAGCTGCATGTAGAACAAGATTTTTCTCTGCTGATTGTAGATTAGCCCAAATTCAGTAATAAAAGGGACTGGAGTCATTCTACCCATCTGAGATCATCTATCATCTGATCCTTTCCAAAGGTGACTTTTGACCTGTTCCAGCACTAAACCCTCCTTTGTGGCAGGTCCAGCCCAATATTTAAGCATCTCCCCACCCAACCTTCCATCTGGGCATTTTAGTGAATGAACACTGTGTTCTAGGATGCAATTTATTTAAAAACATTTATTTTAGGCAAAATTAAACAGACATTTGAGATTACATAGAAATACAGTTTCCAATTGGATCACATAAAAATTAAAAACGCACTGTTGTGTTGATTGAAGTATTTAGGTATTTTTGTATATACTGACCAGGTATATAAGATTTAACCATGCCATTTGCAGTCAACTATCATAAAAATCAGTAACGAAAAAGGTTTCTTAAAATGTGCAAATATTATCTTAGTGTTACCATTGATAATAAATGACCACTAAATAGATGCTTATTATGTAAAGCTTTTTAAAGTACAATAAAAATACAAATTCTATTTGTTAAAAAAGGCCATTGCTATGGCTACTAAACATCCTCATTATACAAATTCAAAAATACTATATGACAAACAAAATTATAAAGACTTTTCTTTATGAAACATAGACTATTCTATTTGTTAGTGATTTCATATATTTTTATATATATATTTCTCTATAATACTCTATATGAATGATGAACTCAGAATAAGAGACAGGAAGACAAATGTAATGTAGGATGTTAAGGCCCCAGTTCAGCAAGGTACCTGAGGATGTGTCAAACCCAGCAAAGGAATAGTCCCATTCTTTTACTGGACTCCAAAAGTACATGCACAAGTACTTTGTTGAACAAGGCATAAAAATATATGTGATAAAACTGAAAAATGTGGTTTTGGTGTAAAGTGTGACTGTTAAGGAGAAAACCATAAGTGGCACCAAAAAAAAACCTCTCATAAAAAAAAATAATCTGAAAATTTTTGGGGGAGGGGTTTTTTCCACATTCGTATGTTTTGAAGGGAAAATACTAGAAGTTTGAAAGTTTTTGAATTGAACTCAACATAGTAATTTTCTGAGATAGGTTTAAGATGGTGTTTTATTGCTTATGAGAAAGATTAATGAAGAATATGCATAGACATGTCAGCATTCATTTCACCAGCAGCTGAGAATTTTGGTGTGCAGGTATTTCTGTAACATGAACAACCAGTGGGTACAAAGGACTCACTTATAGTCAATTCTTTGCAGAAATCCTCAAAGTTAAAGACATGGAACACTAAAGAAGAGAGCAAAAGAATTATACTCAACAGAGCCTGGTTCTAAACACTCAGGTGTTGAAAGTAATTACAGAACTGAGCCCAGTGCCTGCTTATAAACAAAATTACACAAGTTCCTAAGTAAATGCAATACCATAATCTTCCTTTTAAGTTATGGCTAGCATGTAAAGGATTCCAAGGTACTTACTTTACACTTCAGCTATAAAATATCAAAACCAACGGTGGTTGCTTTGCTATTCTGCAGTTTAGCAGTTCTTCTAGGCTCATTAAGCACTAATTGGCAGACTAACAACTTTGTTAGTTTCAAAAACATGAATGAAGGACCTAAAATCTGGATTGTATAAACCAATGACAACATATGTACAGGATAGTAACCACACACAGAGATGGAAATCAATCACACTGCATCCAGATTTACTTTTGAAGCATATAGTTATGGTTAGTATTTTATGCTTTTTTCACTGCAAATTGAAATTTTTGTAGTAGATAATTTTTGTAGTAGATATTAATAATTTTACTGCTTGAATATTAAATAATGTCTTAAAAGCATAATTTCAAAAAGCATAATTTGAAATGCCAGGTAAAATATTATTTTTTATAATTAATTATTTTTTATAATTCTAAGGTAGAATTCATGCCTGGACATTTGCAGAGAGAGACAGACAGAGACACAGAGAGGTATGTGTGACCTTGCTGAAGAACTTCTCCAAGCTAATAGTCATAAAGCATAGTAAACTCGGGCCAAAATGTGACAGAAAGAAACACAACAGCGTAATTTAATCCATAATTCATAAACAAATACAACTTTTTACATTTGTACAGGGAAAGACTGCAAGTAAGTTGGATTTTTACAGAAGCAAGCCTCACGAGAGTTTACATGTTCAAAAAAAGCAATTTTTTGGCACATGGATAGTATCTGTGAGTACATGTTCAGAAATAAAATAAACCCACTGTGGAGGAACTTCACATTGACTTTCTTGGCATCAGCACCTGCTGTCTAGTGGGTCAAGACAGAATACTGTGCCTTCAAGAGTTAATCCCATTTTGAACCCCTCCTGCAATGAAACAAGACATCATTAGTAAAGAGCCAAGTGAGTTCTGGAGGATTATGCTCCTTGTAAAAACATTTAAATCCAAGCATATCTTTAGAGAGACAAACTGCTTCAGTACTTCAGCCTGAATTCACAAACATTTACATTATTTAGTCAGCCACTTTTTCATAAGTCTTAGTGGTTAACTTGCCGTACAACAGCATAGTTACAGTGTGCACACAAAGTAAAGAAAATACTATAGAATAAAAATATTGAATATTCTTGTACATAGGTCAACAGAAATCCAAACAAGTTTGACTTGCACCATGTTGTCCCTGAGTAAAATTCAAGAACATTTATATTGAAAAATACAGGTATGACATGGACATTGTTACTGATACAAAATGTTCTGTGGTGCCTAAGCCTGACAAAATATGCTGACTACCCCACCTCAGGGGGCTGCTCTGAATTCCTCCCATTGCACTTAAATTGACAGGACTTTACTGCCCACTGCCATCTGAGCTTCATGAAAAAGGCACATAAAATCATACTTGCTCTACTGCAAATAAAAAAAACTGTGCATTTTAAAGGCATGTAACTCAGTAAAAAAAACCAGAGGGGTATTTTGAAAGTGCAATGAGTTGCTTTAAAAGTTCAGACCAAGATTCCTGAGTTTACTCATATTCATTTTATTAGTAGAAAAACTAAAAAGATTATAAGCTGGATGCTATCACCTCCTCTATGGAAAAGAAATTCATTCTAGAAATACTTTTTTTTATACGCTTTTATAATGCTTGGCTTGCTAAAGGTACTTAGTTCACACCAGTCCTAAAGTAACAACTGCACTTTTAATACAGGCAAAATACTCTTATTTTCATTTCTCTTTTTACATGAAGAGAAGCTGAATAATTGTGGCTTGACCCTCAAAAGTCATCTTGGAGTCAAGAAAATTTCAGTCTCTTGGGTGAAAGTACTTTGAAGGTTTAAGCAATTGGAAACGGGGCTCTGACTAGAAGTGCCATGAGAACATCGACTCCAGTGGCAGCGCTCTGTTCAGTGAGAGAGTGCTGATTGTGTGCTGTGAAATCAATAGCAGGTCCTTTCATCAAGAAAATATCTTGTAAACAAGATAAATCTCTTTGTAAAACCATCTGTGTGGGGATTAGGCACAACCTCAAGTCTTTCCCTCACATGCAGAGTAGTACCTCAAGAATGTATCTTTTGGGTTTAGAAGATAAATCCTGTGTCAAACCAGCTTAATTCAAACAAATTCAAGGCACACGTTAGCATTTGAAAAATGTATGAATATCTAATAACACTGCCAGCTACTGCTATCAGGAGAATAATGTGGAGAAACAGAACAAACCTCCTGGCAATAGCTATTAAATGGTCTGAGAATTTCCAAGTAAAAGCTGCATTTTCCTACAGGCAGATCCATACCATGATATGCTGAGCAAGTAGCAGCACTGTGGTGGAAACACTCCCCAACTGAGTTACCCAGTTTGTTCTGACTGGGTGACACAGCAAGGCTCACTAGTGTTATTTAAGATTTGTTTTTTGGTTTTTTTTTAATCTGTATTTTCCAAAGGATTAAAAGGAAGAACATTCAATGCAGAAGATTGTTCAAGCAAACAGTAGCTGAAATTCCAAGTGAAACACATCCTGTTACAGACAGTGTTCATTTACCCAAAGGGTAAATTAATTCATGTAACTGCAGTCAGAGGACTGCTTACCCAGAAGGAAAATTCAGAGAAATTAGCCCTAGTGTCTAACCTGTTACATTTTAAACCCTGCAGTTACAGTGTGCCTAGGATGTTCAACTTCTGAAGTATCTCAAGGCTCCTTCCAGTTTTGAGCTTGTAAAGGGATACAGCAACAAAGGATTGCTGCTGGTGCATCAAGCTGAGGATGCTCCATGAGCTCCAGCAGCAGAACATCACCAACAACTGGTTTGACAAGGACAGAGACCTTCATCCTGAGCCAGCCAGAGCCTTCACTGAACATCCATCCCATTCCTGTCCTGCCCACTCTTATTTTTGTCTTATTTTTACAGTGCTTAACTTTTCCCTTTTCCCTTTTCCCAGCAAGTGAAGAGCAAATCAGATGATGCATTATGGAAGTACGCTCATCTCACTGCTCTTATGTTGAGCAAGTCAAGTTTTTTCCCACACAAACTGATATTTTGTCACTTAGCACTTTGCTTGTGTTTGCTATGACTTGACTTAGAACAATTTCCACTTTCTTGAAGAACTGTGGCCTCCTTGACTTATCCTTCTGCAGCTTCATTACAGCCACTTCCCCTCACCCCTGTTTAGTCCTCAAACTGTGGTATTTTGCATTTAAAACAATTACATTTCCACACATTTGCAATGTGATCAGTGTTAATCCGCTCACAGACTGCTGCTCTTTATGGATCATAATTATTAAAAAGCCTTTTTAATTTTATTACCAAAATGAATTACTGCCTGTCCTAAAAGAAGTCAGTGCTGTGGTTGCCAGGTGCTGTTACCAGCTGCACTCCTGAGAGCAATGGCTCATGCACATTCTGTAACAGGGACATAGCATTTCATGGTCACTTCTGAGCCACACCAAACCCACAACCATCAATATCAGATTCTGCAATTCCAAGCAGGCTCAAACTTCCATGACAACCACAAGGCCAAAAGGCCCAACAGCATAGAGAGGACATCAAAGCAATCCAGGTGTCCAGCTGGGCATTACTTTCATTAAAGGAATGTAAAATCCAGATTTTTTTTTTCCTCTTGGATATTTAAGCAGAGGACATGAAGTCCACAGGAGTATAAACAGAGGAATTGTTTTGTCTAAATCAATATTCCTAAAAAATAATTGCAGTCCTCAAAAGGGAAAAAATTAATCAGAATATCTCCATCCAGAAGACTTCCTGGCAAAGTGATGGCAATTTCCAAAGATGAGGAAGGCACACACTTCAGATCTCCCACAGACATCACTATTGCCAACCCTTCAGGTTCAGCAACATAACTCCAAATTCTTAGTTAATTTTTGGAATCTCCAAAACTATACTTTGGCAAACACATAATTAAAAAATCAAATCCAATCAGCTGCAGTCAAGCAAGCACAGGAAGGCTGTAGGAGTAGATTCTCCTTTCCATGCAGAGCAGAACTGTTGATGCAGGCAATTGTTCTCACAGTGGTGCAGAACACTGAGTGCCACATGTGCTTTTAGGACTGCAGTTCATATCTACACCTGAGCTGCACGGGGCTCCCCAGTGCTCTGTCTCCCAGGGGAAGCTGCTCTCTGATCATCTCAGAACAGCACACACCAGCTTTTAACTCTCAGCATCCACAGCTGTAATAGTAATGAAATCAGTTGCAATGACACAGATTACAAATTATGATTTTTTTTTCCCCCTAATAAACTTGACTAATGTGTTAGGCAATTCTTTTTAATGACATATATATAGAGTCAGCTTCTTGGTAAACATTATAGTTTATATCTATCTATATAAAATACATAACTAATTTTAATATACAGCTCTTAAAATATTTTGCCTTGTGAAAATCAGACCCTTCAGCTTTTAATAATGTGTTTTCTTAGCATAACTCTGCCTGTTCATTAAAACCCAGGTGTGCTATTGCTTCCTGTACTTCAAAGGTTCAGGAAACAGAAACTCTTCATGCATTCAGAAAAATCTATCTGATTTGCTGATTTTCAGGGAATGCTGAAAGAGGCCTCCCCATGGCACTGGCCAGGAGAGGGAACAAGAAGGGCTATGAAGTGTACATCTACATTGTGCCTTGTTTTCCTGTGTTCATGTCCTCCTCAAGGACATTTTAACACAAGGACTGAGTGGTTTTGTTACCTATTAAGTAATGGTATTGTACTAAGGGATGTGATTGATGCCTTTAAGAGAGGAGCAAAGTTTGTTTTCACTCAAAACAGCTCAGAAACAATCCCTCTTCCAAAACCAGCCTTTTTTTTTGGTGTCAGGGATAAAAAGATGTGAGCTATTCTGGTTAAAACCAGTAAGCAGTACAGCACAAAGAACTTGCACTTTATCAGGAGATAAATTTGCCAAAGTCAGCCTTATGGCTCAGAAGCTAAATCACTTATCACTTCACAGTGACTTCACTCAATGAGCTTAAGTCAGCACAAACCCAACGAAGCAATGACAAATTTACATATCTCTGAGAAGAGTATTTAGAGGGCTGAGCATAACTTATTTCAGATGGAAAGATGTCAGCCTACTGACTGCTTCAGGGCATGCAGGGAGAATGGCTTGCAGCTCCTGGAAGCTTTCTGATATTAACTACCTTGAGATTTTAATAAATTATAGCAACTGCTGCTGGTATGATTCATGATCCAGGGAAACTTCTCCTCACTGCAAGATTTCTGGGAAAGTAGACATTCATTTTATTAATGTCTGGATACAGTCAAAATAAAGATGAAAATATGTTTCAGCATAAGGGTGCAGGGAAACAGGAGGTTGGACAGTCATCAGAGAGAGGCCTGAGCTGTAAAAGTCACATCTCGGCACATGTTTGAGTCTTAAGCTCTCCAAAAAGATCAGCAGAGATTGGACTGAGAAATGGAATAGAAAGCTTAACTGTGAAATTTGGATCCTCGCTGAAGTTTAAAAATATGAGTGTTCCCCTAGAGGCCAGGGAACTTTATCTGATCTCATGAAGTTCAGAATGCAGGATGCAAATGAAAAGCACCCACTACTCAAGAGTTTGTTCTCCAGTGCCTCTTCTATGCTGTGCTCTCGTCTCCCACTTTGTTCCCAAACCACCTCCAGCACAAGGCTGGATCAGGACAGCTTTTCTGCACATGGGGTGTGTGTGCTGAGGCACCTCACATGTTCCACACAAGAAACAGGGTAAGAGAGTCTGGGCTGGGCTGCTCCCATCAGGCTGACACAGCTCTGCCTGCCATCCTCATTGCAGGGAGAGCTGGATTCAACAGCCCATGGAGGAAGCTTTTACTTGGAACTATTTGCTAGGTGTCTGTAAAAAACTTACCTTTACAGATTTAATGGAATACATAATTACTGAAACACAGGCTGTACTTCCATAATGCAAAGATGACAGATTCATTCACTTTGCATTTCAGAAAAGAAGAGAGGCTCACATTTCTCTTCCATGTTTCTCATGGATTGGATTTCCAGAGCATGTTACATGTTCTGTGCTCCCACCTTCCTCACAGGCTGTGTCTAACAGCTGTTGAGACTAGCACAGCTGCTTCTGCTCCTTGAAAAGTTTTAAATCATTATGTCCAAACAGAGACTTACTCTCAAATGTGACTGCACTAACACAGTCTCTGTACTAAAGGTTTTGCTTAAACCATTTCACTAGTGACAATCTGATAATGACAACTGGAGATTTCACAAGTACACATGGAAAACAAACAGCAGTGAAAACAAAGGCTGAGTATGAGCACCTGGCAAGACAGAGGAAAGAAAACAACCGTCAGCTGTTCCTAAATTAGAGATTGTAGGCCCCTAAAAATGAAAATGGCTCTGACTCAGAGTACAATAAATAAAACATAAATCCTAAAATTTTTAAACATTATCAAATATACATAAAAATAGAAACACAAGACAAACACATGCACATTTCAACTGTAAATGCTTTAAATACCATTAGTAAAATATGAAATACCAACCATCGCTGACGCTGTGCACCCAGGAAAGCACAAGAAGATAAAAGAGACATTAGGAAAAACATGTTTCAATCTGTATTTTGCACCAACCACGCAGAAAAATCACTGCACACAGTCTTTGCTTTGGCTCAAGTTAAAATATGGGGCTTTTAATATCCATTTGGGTGTACACTTGTTGTCAGCTGGATCATACGTGGCAAGTTTTGTGCCTACATAAAGGCCCACTAATTAATTTTTAGTGAATAGCTGATATGCTAGGTGGGAGTGCCTTTGCAACAGGACACAGGAACACCCTAATGCTTGGAGGTTTTGATTGGTTGTCTCCTTTTTTTCAGATCAAGAGAGTACAAATGATGGGAGATTTTAATTTCATGACTTCAAACATCTTTGATAAAGACATTTACTACTCCATTCCCTGGTGTTCTATGAGTTGACAGCACTCTGTAGTGTACTAGCCAAGCAATTCCAAATATTGTCAGAACCTTACCTGTAACAGGAACTCAGTATGTGACATTTAAATATTGACATACCATTATTAGTGGTAAGCACAGTTGCTATGATTTATTTTTCCCTAAAACAATGGAAATGCTGGTAATATATCAATGGGAGGTGCTGTAAGATTTGGGGTTTGTGTTCAAGGGCTGGGTAACAACATTACAGCATTCACAAATTGCAAACATGATGTTGGAATTGCAAAGAAGACAGTTTTGGCTTTTAGCTGCTCTTTGAAATTATGTGAGGGACCAAGAAGCTAAATTTCTTCCTACACTGTGAGTAGAGTTTGTCAGTGGAACCATGCTGAACTGACATGGAAAAGCAAATGTACTCAGGAAAATGAAATGGTATTTAAATCTTTTTTAAGCCATATTTAAAAGCCTCTGCTGCTATCTAGGCAGGAGAGAAGGAGCCTGAGAGCAAATGCTCTTGGACTTTGTGGGCTCCTAAGAGACAAGAGGGCTGGAAACCCTGCGAATGCATTCTGCTGAGGAGCCAGGATCCTAGAAATTCAAGTTTCCATTGTTTCCAGCCTTTTCTTTTGCTGGCAGGCTGCTTACAAAACAGTAGAGATAAGCAACCTGGCAAGGAACTAGAAGTTTTGCAAGTCTGATGGCAGAGCATCATTTGTTCCAAAACTTGAGGACTTTCTCTTAGAATCGTTTCACAATTGGGTCAGTAACTGAATGGACAATGTTGAGTGTTTCAGAATCAACAAACATTTTCTAATAAAAATACAACAATTCAGAATTCTTGAATCAATTCTCAAGAGTTGAATTGCCCCAGGGCTCCAGAGAGTTGTTTTTAAAGGCAACAGAAAATTGCCATGGCCCCAGAAGCACCTGCCTGATGCTGTGAGACACCAAAGTGATGCCACTGAGGGAAAGAGGAGGGTACATTGGGATGGTGGAGATTGCTGCAGCTCAAAATCAAGGGATCTGGAGTGCTCTTGGCTCAGCTCTTTTTTTCAGCTCTCTCAGTCCCTTCCCAGGCAATGGTTCCCAAGCCATTTTGGTTACACTGCTAAGAAACCCTTCATTAGTGTAGCCGACTATTGTATTGCATTGGTACCAGGTGGGGCTCTGGAGGCAAACCCAAACTCCAGCTCAGAGATCAGAGATAAACTTACAAAAGGAATGGTCAGAAATAGGGGTTTGTCTGTGCATTAGTGTGTGCATTGTGGAACACATTTCCAGAACGTGGTAAGAATTTATTTCAAGAAAAGGCACGCAGCCATCTAAACCCGCGCAAGTCAGTAGTTACCTGCATCTCATCTAGTTTGGACTGAATGTCTGGAGGGAAATCTCCTGCTCCACAGCTAAAAGGGTCAAAAGGTTCTGCTCCAAAAAGGTCTCTCTCTGCAACAACAGAAAAGTGAGTCACTGGGAGAACAGATATGGGCAACAACAGTGTTCTGAAAAAGTCACTTTACATCTCCTTCTGAGCTAAGTACCAGCACCACCAGATACACCACTCATGAACCACAACTTTTAACATCCCAGTTTGAAAGCCAAGTCTTGGGCAGTTCTCCAGACTTCAATACTGAAATATTTTTCCAAGAACACCACTGAACTTCTGTTTAAGCTTCTCTTTGTCTTCCTTTGATGCTTGTGCCTTCTAGAGATCCGATGAGAAGTTGCTGCTATTTGAAGAGGACATCATACACTGATGGGTGCTCTGGAGTCTGTGTGCACAAGATGTTTCAAAAATGAAGAGGAAGCAACGGGACATGAGCTGCCAAATTTCATCTTTACATTATGTCAACAACAAATTACCAACCCACTGATCTCCATGTCCACCGTCTGCAATTCCTCAGGTTAAGGATGTTTTTGTGAGACAAGCAAATACTCAGGCAAGGCAAGGCCTTTGATACAATTCCTCAATGAACAACTAGCTGTAATTAAAACTAAAAACCATGTGAGTTTTAAAATCTAGGATAAGACCACAAAATAAAATAAAAAAAAAACAAACCAAAAAAACAGGACCATGAATTGCCAGTTACGCTAAAGTGTCACTAAATTTGGGTGCATAAATAGGATTATTGTGAGTTTCCCTTTCTCAATACCCAAAGTTTCTCAGTTTTTCTTAACTGCAGTATGCATTCCAGAGGTCAAAGGGAGGGGGATGTTTCTTTTTTTCATCTGGGCAAGAAGAAACACCTCCAATACAATTAGGTTCTTTTTTTCATATTAGACCAGTACATATCTGGTCTTCATATCTGCCTGCACAAATACTTTCTTTGGTTTTTTCAGGCTTTGGGGTTTTTTCCCTCCTTCTTAGTAATATATTTTTCTTTCCTATGGTTAAAGGTTCCAATTCTAGACACTTTTCCCATCTCACACTGGATTAAACTACAGCAGCTAAAAAAAGAATTTTGCTAACCCAACCCAACTCCACTGATTGCAGAATTTAAATAATCAAGTTTCTACAGTCTTGTCATTGGTGAAGAAAAAAACCAGAACCATTAGGAGGTATCCTCTCTCCTAACTTCCATGGCTGCCTAGCAAGAAACCTGACAAGGATTCTACCTGCCTCAAAACAATTTGAGCTTTAGAGCATGACAATAAGGGAGGGGAATAACCCTGAAGTGATTGGACAGTTAAGCACAAAATTCACCCTGAACACCCGAGGTCTGGGTGACAATTAACTGCTGGACCCAACCCTTCCCCATCGCAGTGTTCCCAGTCCCATTATCCTTGGAGCATCACTTGCCTACAGCTGCACAGATGGTTTGGTTTTGGCATCCTCAGAGGCAGAATTTTACACCTGTGTTCTCCAGGCTCTTGAACAGTTATTGCATGTATCAGTCTGTCAGGGCTTTGCCCTTATCAATTAGGTGTTATCAGGCTGCACACCAGGCATTTTAAATAACTGGCAACTAACATCATTTGCTCCCATGATAAAGTACAGAGATTCCCATCACAAAGTACAGAAACTTGAGCAGAATTTGATTGATTACATATTTCAAAAACTGTGACTAAACAGCTACAAACTGTCACATGGGACCAGGAGATGGCTTGGAAAAGAGAGCCTTATTCCAAGAGCCCACTGGAGCCAAGAAGAAATCCAGTCTTTCCTGGCAGAGGCAGACCACCTGCATGCAAGAGAGACTTCAACCCGGATAATCTAATGTAAAAATTAGGTTCTCCCTCATCCTTTGCCTCTTTCACAGCCAAAATGGGTCTGCTCCAGTATAACCAGTGTCCTGAAATGCTCTGATGCTCCTAGCAAATAACCTGCAGATGTGTAGCAGCTTTGACTTGCAATCTAAGCTCTACTGGGCAAAAATTGATTCTACTTTGTAACCCTCAACCGTCTAAGGTTCATTATGTAGGTCCATTTTATTTCTTTTTACCTTTAAAAGGAGCTGACAGCTTTCTCTGTGGTCTGACAATTGAAAGCAGACAGTTCCAACACCAAGGCTTAGCAAAAATTCTATGAATGTATTTAGGAAAAAAATGGTGAAGGACAAAACTCCTGCGTTTAATTTGTACCGAATTATGACTTATGACTATTTTTAAAAGCAAATATTTTGCACACTATTGTGGTTAATATCTCATTTATGCCTTGTTATTGGGCTTTTATTAATGAAAGCACTTTTGAGCTTGTTAGCAGGAGAACAACAGAAGTTTTAACTCCTTTAATGCCACTTCTTCCTTTAATGTGAAGGAGTTTTGAATTTATACCGTATACAAGGCAGAATTTAAAACCAATCAGTGTGATTTTTTCCAAGTGACAACAACTTGTTTACAAGCCTAGTAAACCCTGCACAGAATCATATTCAAACTAGAGAAGCTTCACCTAGGTGGATTTCTGTGGAAAGCTATTACTTGGGGAACTATCTCTATCCTAACTTGCTATCCATTTCAGCTGAACAAATCCACAGAACAACTGCTTTTCTGCATTTAAAGTTCGAGTGTTAGAAGCCAGACTTCACTGCTAAGAGTCAGGGAGGGATAAAGTTCCATGGAATATTTTCAATAGCACTGTCAGTATTTGCCTTGGGAACAAAAGCTGAAGAATATGTGTAAAACGGAGATATATGAAGATTTCATCCCTGCAGAGCTGCACTATTGCATGGGATATCTGTGAGCTTATCCACCAGTGTTCACCCCACTCATGATGGAGGGGGGGCTCCTTTTTAGCACAGATGGGATAAATTGGTAACTTTTTATTTCAGGCCAGAGTATTTACATGAAAATTAGCTGTAACCAGAATATCTTGCCTGGTACACTCCCCCAAATTACTGTAGCATAGACAGGCATTTCTTTCTCCAATAGACAGCAACCAGGAAGCCTTTGAAAATGATCCTTTCAAATAGTACAAATAATTTCCTCTCCCTTTCTCATTCCTTTCTGAATGGAAATAAATTCACAGGCTGCAAAATTGACCCACAAATTCAAAAGCCATGAAATGTTGATGTTTTAGATCCTCAGCTCAAACCACAGGATAACATGAACAAGTAATAAATTCTGGGACCTGACATTCAGGAGAACATACACATAATACTGGAGAATAGCGACCTGCAGTCTATGATCAATTCAAAATTAGCAATTACTAAGCAAAAATACAAATATTTGGCTTTTCTGCTGCACTTGACATCCCAATCTCTACCTTAGCTCTCATCCAGGCACACAGCTATACTCATATACACTTTGCCCAGATGGAGCAGCTGTGAAGACAAAAATGAATCACACTGAGAGACAAGCTCACAAAGCAATATTTGGAATAAACTGAGAGGGAAATCCAGAAAGCCTTTCCTTTAGCTGCAGGCTACTCCATATTTTTTATTTGGAAGTAAATACAGCCATTATTCTGACAAAATACTGTTAAATATCTGTAGAAAAAGAGCACCTTGGAGCAGATTTGTGACCTTGTGACCTTGGATTTTTCATAATGCATTTGTGTGAAACAAATATTGAACAACTTAATAGAGAATAATCCTCTGCAGTTCTTTTCTGAGATATGAAAATAATGCTGTGCCAACAAGAAACATAAGTCAATTCCTCCTTTAATTAAAGTAATAATTTAATTCTGACCATTCAGATAACTTACAAGAACGTATAACAACCCCTCACTTCATGAGGAAGAAGCAGCATGCAATCTCTAGCATTGCATTTTTGGTTGCATTTCACTATGCTGCAATTATTACCTAAAGAGTCAAGTGTGCATTTGTCCAATCTGCAACCTCCTGCAACAAAAGTTATGCCATTTTCTCCTTTAAATAGGTAAACCCCATTTATTTGCTATTGCTGATACAGCCAGTAGTGAGAAGACATTTACTGAGTAATCCTGTTGAAACACTGCTGAATACGAACTCAAAAATCTCAATATTTAATTAATTTCTTAAAGCTTAAATGCCTTGGAAATAGCTGTCTTTCAAAAAAAAAACCAAAACCAACAAAAACCAAAAAATACCCCAAACAACAACAACAAAACAACACAACAACCGAAAAACCCAAGCAGCCACTTTTGCTCTCCTCTAGTATTAAAAAGCTGGGTTTCTTAATCCACATGCCATGAGCTTGGCAAAGCCAGAGATACCATTTATCATCCCCAAATTATTTTTTTTTTTCTGGCAAATTACCACAGGAAGAACTGGTAAGCAAAATTCTAACTCTGGGCACTTCTCTTTATGGGAAGCTGAACTGTCATCCTGGTGCCCGTAATTATCCATGGAACTTGGTCCTGGAGGAATGCAGAGTGCTTGGTATTGTTGCAGGTTTCCTACAAGTCTCCATGCCTTTCTGGAGCACTGTTATTTTTGGCTGGTTTCTCAAACTGCCCAATGGACAATTAAGATGAACTTTGGCTTTTAAAAGCACGTTTTGCTTGAGCAGCACAAGCTCCCTGGGTAACAAGCCCCACTTAGGCAAAAGGAATAAATGAGGTGATACTAACAAATATATGGTAAACCCTCATCTTTCTTCTCTACTACTGAATATCAAAAAGGTAAAAGTTACAAAATTACAAAATCCAACAAAATCACCTGTAATTTCACCAAACCGTCTCTGCTTGAGTGCAGTGAAAAAGAAAGTAGAGATAGGAACAGGAAAAGATGATCTCAGAAAATGGAGACTCCAAACTTTGGCTGCTCTTGGTTGCCAGCTGTCTGACTTGTACTGGAGAAAGAAATGCCAGCTTGCTGGTACTGACAGCAGTGACACCACAAAGCAATGCATTATTGCCCATTGCTACGGTAATGGGACATTGCACAGCCTTATGGGAGCTGAACTTTTTCATCTGGGACAGTAAAGTCCTTCTCTGATGATAAAATATTCCTCTCCTGTTTCAATGACACTCTGAAATATACCAAAATGTATTAATAGCTGAAGAACACGGTAATTTTTAACACAGAAAGTACCACGACACAGACTGAAAGAGCAGGGATCAAAAGTACAAAGAACATGATGGGCTTTGTAATCTCTCCCTGAAGTGGCATCTCTGAACAGCATCACCTCAACTGAGAGCAAATCAGTGAAGAGCAAAAGCAGTAACAACTTTAAAAATAAATATCACTGTTAATAACCAACTCTTTTTTTTTGTTTTTTTAATATTACAAAACCCACTGCCTGAACAATTCCAAATCCCATATAGCTGGAATTTTCAAGATCCCTCAAGACTGAGTGCTGACTCCCACAAGATTTCTATTCAACTGAGCCACAATCTCAATGGAACTGAGGTAGGACAATAGGTAAAAAATAAAATCTTGACCTCTAATTCAATTCAAGTTGCCATTCTTGAAGCTGTATATGCACATTTAGACCTATTTTATGTCATTCCTGTAGTTTCAGAGAAGCAATCTTTCAATTATTTATTACAAAGCCATAAAATCTCTCAATAGACCAGTTCTAATATTCTATTAGAATATTTTAAATTAGATAAAAATAATTAATACTGACTATACTTGATAGATGTAAAATTCTGTTAGTATACCTTTTGAGATTCCCACAGAAATTCATTAATTATTCAAAAATATTCTCTTTTTAAAAAACAGGATTCTTTATTGAATTAGAGTCTCAACATTTCCTTTCTCTTTAGAAGGTGACAGACATTCTGAGCAATGGAACCAACCAGTGCATCAGACGTGGGCTTGGGGAGGGAAGATTTTCACTGATTTAAGTTATAAAATGCAATTTTTGTGCACAGCTCCCATTAATAGCTGAAAATTCTACATCCTTTGAGGCATGCCCCGAAACAGCACAATCTCCTCAAATGTGTTCCATGTGGTGGCAGGTAGTAACGTTAATGTCCCTTATCCACTCTAAATTAGACATCAGGAACAGAAGATACAAACACAGACTGATATTTCCACAACCTCTAACATCACTTGTGCATGCCCAAATCTCCTCTCCCTCAAAGGACTTCCAAAGCTTTTAAAAAGACTTTCTGGACTCCAAAAAGATCTCTAATGAAGTCAAGGACCTTACCCTATATTCTTTCAAGCCATTGCAAAATAAAATTGCTGTTGTTAACAACCTTTTGAAGACCTTTTAGGAGTGGTTGACAGATCTGGAGAGGTTCATCAACTATAGATAAACAAAGCTGTGCATGATATGAAAAGCAGTATTGAAAACAGCATTCTAAGTCTCCTTGAGAGGTTTCTTTGGCATCACCATCACCATACTTACTCCACCTGCTGCCTTCCCCAGAAATGCAGGCTCTAGGTGCTAGAACCGTGGGCTTGACAAGGAAAGAACTAACAGGAAGGGAAAGTATTCCTTGAAGTACAGAAAAGAGACTGTAAAAGAAAAGCCAAGTTAAAATCCCCAACCCAACTCCTTCCAAGTGTATATGTCATAGTTTCACAGTAAGTTTGTTTATAATGCAACTTGGCAGCAACATCAAGGACTTTGGGAAGATGGTATAAAGATGAAACGGCATTAGTGAATGTGATTTACCAAAACTGTATTTGGCTTTTCATGCAAAACGTACGTAAAACTTTAAAGATGCTTTATTAAAAAATAATGTAAGCAAAAAGTAGGTCAGTTGTTACAGAACTTACTGATCTCTGTAGATCTACTGGGTACTGGAGGAGGCTGTGTACCATTGCGAGTAGGTGTTGATGACTGAGGGGATATGGGAGAAAAGGGAACCATATCAAAGATGTCAGTGGAGGGTGATTTAGGTGTCACACTGCCTGCCTACAATAAGGACAATAAATATTAGGGCAATGTTTCACATGAAAAAGATCACAATACTGAATTCTTCAGCATGCAGATAAGAGTCACATTTTGAAAATAAAGTTAAAAACAACCATCAGCATGCAAACCCCGGCTCCTGGCACCAAGCAAATAGCATTTGCAGTACAGACTCTGACACATGCTAACATAACCCAGTACAAAAGCAGCATTGTAATTTTTCACTTTTCAGTCAAAAATGTATCACAGTTACACCTGACAAAGCTGTGACAAACAGTTCTCTCTTGCAAAGGTATGAGCACTGACACCTTCATGAGACCCAGCTGAGGTAATACGGCACCAACAATGTGCTCTGCTCTGGAGAGCACAGAACCAAGTTAAAAGATACAATCCCAGGATTTTTGGTTTACTGATTCTTCTTTACATGATCTCTTATTTGGCAGCTTAGAGAAACTGGTATGATCAAAGCTTTAAATGTGTTTTTCTATAAGCAATAATCTAGACGTGATATACTGAATGTTAATATCCAAAATAAACCTGTTGTACTTGAAGGTAAAACTGAAGAGATTTCATTCAGAAGGCCCAGGAATTTGGAAAGGTTCAAAAAAATACTGGGCAAGCAAGAAACCCCAAAACCACCAATTACTCCAGTTCTGCAATCATATTTGGTTTTGAATGGTTCATTCCTCCTGCCACCAGTCCACTACTCCAGGGCACAAGCGAGGCACAGTCAAGTCAAAATATACCGAACACTAAAGACAGAGGATGAAATAGATTAAAACTGAGACTGAAGAGCTGAAGGCAAAACTAGTTTGCGTGTTCATGTTATTGCTGAGACAATACAGAAAGCCCCCCACTCTGTGTATTAGAAAGGCTAGCCAGGCACAGCAAAATCCTGCAGCTTTGAAAGAAGATTCAGTTTGCCCAAACTATCCACACAGAAACCTTGAAGGACCAGTTAAATTAGTCACATGGATCATTTTATTCAGAATACACAAATATGATAACCTGGCAAGCAGGTAGTCCTTAGCACTGCTTGTCCATGAGAGTCCCAAGGGTAAACCCTTAGTTTGGAATGCTGCTTTTTCAGAGTCTGTGCTGCAGACCTGCAGCTGCTCTGGGACAGCTCATGTCACACATTCCTAAGCCTATAGGAAGCCCTGAACCACCCCTATTTCTCTCTGGAGGCTCTCTGCAGTGGCTGCTGAGAAGTAATATTGATCCACAGCCTTCCTCTGAATGCACTGTTAAAAGAGGAAAAAACACTAAGCTCTCAACACAAAGCTACATTTCCTATTTCTTGGAGGTTTTGTGGTTCTTAGGAGTTTTGAGATCATATTTTAAATTTGGATTAATATTTTAAAATTGGATTAAGAGAGCTCTATTACTCTGTTCAGTATCTAAAAGATCCTGGGATGTTTCTTCCCACATATACAGAAGCATAGCAAATGGAAAAAATCTACATTTAACATGCTGTTTTTATTTTTTCGTCTTTTTAAAAAAATATTCTCTCAGTCATTGCTATTCCCAAGCATGACCATAGTCATTAATTTACTTCATAAAAGAACCAGTTTTCAAGATTTTAACACATCCAGAACTCTCACTGTCTTCAACTTGAGTTACTATTGGAATTTCAAAGATCGTGTGCTGTGAAAAGATTTTAGTGCAGAGTTTAGACACCACAGGCTCCTGTCAGTGTCCATGGACCTTGCATTAACCCTGCAGAGAACCAGGGTAATCTGAGCCTGGCAAATCCCTGGATGTCATCTGCTCCCACTCAAAGCAGGGCAATGGATGTGCTGGACCCAAAATAAACATTATAATAAAGAATCAGACTCCTTCCTTCATCCTAAACCTGCTCTAATTCTAGACAGGCTTTTATCGGCATCAGGAAGGTGGGATCAGGTTTAGGGCAGAAATAAATGCTTACATCAACACCCATGGATAATCCTAGAATGTCTCGGAGATCATTTGTGCTAATGGAGAATCTTATTATTTGCCAAATGTTTATGGCTAACAACTCTTACATTTAGTTATAAATGTGCCTTTTAGGCAAAAGAAAGAAAACCCAAACTTTAGACGAATTTCCCAGTTACATTCCATTTTGTTGAATTCCCTTACTGGCCATTTTGATTCTACTGATATTGTTTAATTAAAACTGTAAGTGAATTAAGAAATGTGTATTTTGAATACATAAGAGCACAAAAAGCATTTATATTTAGTGTACACATGCAGAAAGCCAGGATGGTCGCTAAATAAAGCCAAATATTACTTGCAAATGGAAGAAAAGTTGAGAATATAAGCACATGAATATGAAAAAGCAGGCAATATGCCCATTTCATATTTGAGAATAATTTTCAACCTTCATTTTGCACAGTTTTTATAAAGTATGCTAAAAGTTATTTAATGGTTCATTGCTTTTCTATTAATTCTTAGGGGGAAGAAGCCCTTGAAGTAGGGCCTTTAGAATTGTTTTGAATCGTTATTCTTCATATAAAAAAAATTAACAAAAGATTGACAGATAACAGAGATCATTAATTAATAGACTAATTTAAACATGTTGGAAAAATAAGAATTTATGTTTTGAGGATTGGAGAGAAAAAGCTCTGTAGAAATAAGAGTAATTCTTCACAAATCCCATATTTTAAGAGTACCCCTAGAGAACCTAAGATTCATCCACCCTATCCTTTAGCCACTGTACAAAATGCACATTTTTAATACAAGTTAATACACAACAGAGAACAAAAGAAGGCCAAAAAATAAATAAAAAAACCCCCAAAACTGGAAAAGCTTTTGCACAGCAAGATTACACGAGGTCTTGGGCAGCTGTATTCACTGGCAGGCTTTGGAAGACCACTTTTTGAAGGTGGTGGTATTAACAATCCAGGTGGTAGTCTAGAGTCAGGAGAACTCCTAGGAGTAAGCGTAATGGAAGAGATATCTAAACAAGGAGGTGAATCCTCATTGTTACACCAGAAAAAAGTAGAGGGTCTTTGAAACATATGTTCATCATTATCACACTTTATGTGCAGCAGCTGAAAAGGAATCACAGAAAGAGAAAACATTTCTGAGGAACAGAACGCGGTAACATCAGGGAAAGAAGAAAAAAAGAAACACATTTCATATTTCAAAAATGCTTGCCAGCAACTTGCTGTTCAGTGCTATAGTTACAAGATACAGAACTTGAAAATACTTCAAAACAAAATATTAGAATATGCCACGTTAAGATGCAACCCAGCACCAACTGGAACAATGACAACTTGATCCTTGATCATGACACCAAATAAAATGTAGTCAGACATCTTTCCAATAGTGTGTGTGAGACGCTAAGAAATGTCTAAATTCAACAAGGTACCAGCAATCTCTCCCATCTGCACTTGTAAATTAGCATGGAGGCAAAATCTGGGGAGAAGAATTACTGTGCTGTTTAATGCACTGGTCAGGCTTTTCTCTAACTGAGGAAAAAACTACCATTTCCCATCAATGCTGAAAGAACAGCTCATTATTCAACTAAAATCTTCAGAAGACAGATTAATCTTTGGATCTTAACAGAAAGGATTGCACACTTGTGCAGAAGGTTCTTGGCCACAGCCAACTTCCACAGGGAGAAGCAGGAATGGCAGCAGGGCTGGAGGTGTCCTGCCCAAATCTCTGTGACTGGCCCAGGCTGAGGCAGTGGCAGATGAGTGCAACAAGAATTCTGAAGCTTGCTTTTGCTCCCTTTGTAGTGTTACACAATGGATATGTCATGATTATTTCATTAGAAGTTTGCATAACTTAGTAGAGCAGGATTCAATCAATTATTTTAAACCATTTTTTTCAGTGTTATGTAGGAAAAAAAACAGATTTCAAATCCTTTTAAAGTGAGTCTCAGCTTCTTTCTTCACTTTCTTTACAGATTAACCTGCCTAAGGGTACAGTTGACTAAATGTAGTAACAATGCCATACTTGAGAATATCAAAACAATCCACAACATTCCCTACTCAAAACTTGCAATTCAGCATTAAAGAAAAAAAAATAATAAAAAAGATTTTCATCTCAACTTCAAAAATTTCCACACTGGAATTGTGAAATGGAGGGTTTGGAATGATAATCAATAAAAAAGAAATAAAAAAACCTACAGGAGAGAATTTTGATTATTATTTCAAGAGTATCACCAGACTACAGGTAGAAGAGTTACGGTGCAACTGTGCATTACTGCCATGGAATCTGTGCTGCTATACATAACTATGGGAAAAAACAGCCCCAGAATAATGAATGCTCAAAAAGACTAAATACAGCGTCATTAAAAGAGCCAAATACTCTCCTGAAATGCAAAACAGTGAAGGATAAGTAGTTTTTCTAAGAAGGCATGGATGTCACATGAAAATGACACAGAAAGCAGCAAAATGCACAAAGGACACCAAACAGCAAAGCCATGAGGATGATGAACATGTATCAAATCCAGGGAATGGAAAAATTCAATACAAAAGCAGAATATACAGCCCTGGTCATCTGAGCCCGGAACTGGAGCAGTCACAGGTCTCACCAGTGACACTTAGGACACCACACAACAAACACCGTGCCGAGCTTCTTACAATCGTTTTGGGAATGCACCTGCTCAGGAAACGAATTTTCCCCAGGAATTCTTCATTTGCAGAGTAGCACAGAGCTCATTGGTGCTAGGAGTGCTGCTCTGCATCTCATGCCATGTCCCAGAAGGACCTGTGAGGCTGATGGGCTTCCTGCTCACAGCCCTCTGGTCCAAGGAGCCCACCACAGGGGCAGCAGGGTGAATATCAACAGATGCACAAAGTGCAGGGGGAAAAAGGAAGAGACCCTCACTCTAAAGAATAAAACCTCAAAGGGTGTAGCTTCTGAAATTTAATACTCTTACACAAAATTATAAAGGAAGAAAATATAGCTAAAATAATGAAATTGTCATGTCATTTAGCAACTGTATTTTTTCTGAGGTTCCCACTCAGACCTGTAGTAATAGTGGCATTGATACAATATGTTCCAATTTGGGCCTCATTCCATTAACATAAGAAAACAAGAAGAAATGATACTTCATGAAATTATCATACTAGTTGAGTGGATTTGGTCTCTTTTATGGTTAGATGTAACTATGTGCCAGCAAAAGATTTATTTTTTACTCTATTGAGAATGGTGCTGAAGGTGCACTCTTGTGCTGCATCATACTAGAAAATGTAATGTGGCTGAGGATTTATTAATCAGGAAATCACTTCAAAATTGTTTCTTTTTACAATTCTCTAGACACTGATTGCAATCTCTGTGTCATAGCCACATAGCAATCACCTAAGTGTGAATTAGAATAAATTAGGAAATGGTTTTGTTCCTCAGAACATTCAAATTGGTAATATACAGAACCACCACAGTGGGTAACTGCAGTCATGTTCCAGGGAATGGGGAGAGACCTTCAATGAAAATTATGCATTTAATAAAAGAACCTGCATATTTCCTGAGATTTGGGACTACTAAGAACACTCACTAATCCATAACTTACCAATTCATAAAATACTGTATAAATATTTGCAGTTTCATTAATTAACTGCTACATCTTCAGTTCATTTAGTAATTTTTCAGTGACATGAAAAAGCGTAAGCAATTTCAAATTAATTTTGTTTAACATCATAAATGTAACAGAATTTTATACCCAAATGAAGAAGTGCTCAAACAACTGAATACAGAATATTATAAACCTAAAAAAGCTAAAGATAGGCAAAAAAAAAAACAACCCAACAAAAATGTGCATTTGCACACTTGGCAATTTTGGTGGAAACAGGAAACAAATGAGATGCATATAAACATTCCAAAATGGTTTTTGAAATCTGAATAAAGCTCCAGCTGGGGCTTTCCCATGAGTGTGGTCACTGGGGCAGGTGGCCTATGCTCCTAGGTCACAACAAAACCTTGGAGGAAAGGCCTAATCAATCAGTATCTTTAATGTTCTGCTTAGAACTGGAGGGGTTTTGCACCACCTCCATGTAGGAGCATGGACTCCACGCTTTTTTGTTAATACTTATGGTGCATGGAAGAACACTGATCCTTCTGGGGCTGCTTCTCCCAATTCCTCTTCCTGCTGCCCTTCAGTTCTGCTTTGCCCACATTTCAGTGTTCTCAGGGAAGCCTTCTGGGCAGCACTGGCGATGGAAACAGCAGCAAGTGTGACATGATGTGAGCCCAGTCTGCCAGGGCTGCACTGAGCTCTGGAGGCTGCAGCTACACACAGCAGCAGCATCCAAAGCCTCCCTGTGCTACAAACTGGAGCAGTGTCCCCACAGGCAAACGAGGAGATGAGAATCCAGCAGTCCTCACATAATCAAGAACAAATGCAAAAAAGACCAGCGATTAAAGCATTGCCAAACCACTAAAACAGATGAGAAGTAAACAACAGATAGACAAGTCACAGAAACTTCAGCAGTGCATGCAAAGGAGTGAGACAAAGGAAACATTCCATGCCAACATTTCCCATGGCACATGGAAGCGCAGCTCCAGAGGCAAACTAAGGAAACTCAGTTTGGGGTTGCATGTCCTCGACAGAGCCACTCAGGACACCAAAAAAAGTGATAGTTCCTGTTGCATAACACTTCTGCACTGGCAAACACAGTCAGCTGAGGGACCAGCTTTTCAAAGTTCTAGGAAAACTGCTCAAAACCATCGACCCAAATGCAGAAAAAATGATCACTAAGCACTTTATTATTTACTGAATGTGCTGAGCAAATGTAAATCTAATTAGCTACAATATCCTGAGAGAAAAAAACCTGAAGATTGATAATTTGATGTTCAACTTTCACAATATATTTTATGCAAAAGCATTTCATTATACAATCCACTTTTCTCTCTTTTATTTCCAACTATGATCTCATTGCCTTAATGGCATCTTTTATAGGTTCAGAAAGAAATTTTATTTTTCCCATAGAGTTTATGAACTGACAGAAAAAGCACCTAAATTAGATTGATGTTGATTTGGCCATATGGCTAGATTTAGAGCAGCTACAGAAAAAATTTTCATAGTGTTGCTAATAAGCAAGCAAAGGAGAGAATCCTGATGGCAATTGTATCCCTCAAAAGCAGAACTTGATTGCTGTCAATGCTTTTCACCCTTTTACACATTGCAAGAATGCAAAGAGTAGGTAATTGCATTATTCACACATGTATTTTGCACCCATTTCACTGTCAGTGTTATTTTAAAATATGTTCTCAAATAAGCCTTTAGTTGGCCTGCAAATAAAACTGCAATACAAGCAAGAATCATCAGAAAATTTCCCTTTGTACATTCCAAAGAAACCTTTAACTTGCACTACTTATGGATTGAGAAAAGTTACCACTAAATTTTTTAATTATTACTACTTTCAATTTGCATATGCAAGTGTATGGGGTTTTTTGTTGCTTTTTTTTTTCAATAGAGCAACCGAAGACTCACAATAAACTCCCCAGTAATCCAATTCACTATTATTACTGAAAACATAATTTAATTGAAACAATTAGTTACAGATATTTCAACTGGAAAAATGTTCTCTTTTATGAAATTATCAACTCCAAGTATTTTTGATTCTGTGCTTGAAATGAAGCTTTAAGCTTACAATTCACTGCTTCCATTTTGTTTCTCTTAGGCCATGCATGGATTTCTGGGTAAGTCATCAATCTGTACATATTTTGATGTGAAGGATCAGCAAATGAAGGTGTTTTTGTATATGTTTTGCAAAGAAAGTGTTCAACACTACCACCCAAGAATTCAATATGTGAGCACAGGGCCAACTTCTTTTAGAGAAGTAAATCTGTCAGCAAAGCCACATATTGCAGTCCAGCCTGGCACATTCACATAGTTTGTGAAACTACAGAAAAAATGTTTTAAAAACATTTTGGAAGTAAGAGAGAATCTGAACTTTAAATCTTGATAGTATTACATGGATCCTGAGCAAATGGTTTTATTTCATATTTAGCTACAAACTTATTTTCAGTGACAATGGGAAGTTAGAAAAGTTTCTTTCAGATGACAGCTTGGATGTATCTACTTAGAACTCAAACATGTTGAAACAATTTTTTATTTTTTTTTAATGTGCAGTGAACCAGATGCTTAAAACCATACACATACTAAGTTATCCATCCAGTTTAAAGATGCTCTCACATTCTATTTTCTTTTGATATTGAAGTGAAAACAGGAAATATAATCTGGTCCTGCTTGTGGGTAAATGATCTGGGAATCAGGAGACTGAGCTGTCAGAAAGAGAAGAATTGGCTTGCTTTAAAGAAAAAAAACAAAACCAAGAAAACCTCCCAAACCACACAAACAAACAACAAGGGTCAGTGATATAATACAAGAAAAACCTGCTGCACTTGAAATTTCCCAAAGAGTTTTCTCCCTTCTTTATTTCATTAAAAACTAACGGGAAGACAAATGTGTCTAGAATGATTAAAGACACCGAAATCAATGCACCTCAGAAGCAGGAATAAAGAAATTATATAGACTGGCACTGCATGCAAACGGTGCCATGGCTTCCCAGTTACTGCCAGGTGGGAAAGGCATTCTGTGCTGGAATCTTAACATATAAATCCTGACAGTGACAGTGACTGTGCGTCACACTGCAGGTGCAATAAATTCTAAAAGCCCCTGCCTCCTCTCGTGGGGATGGAAAACAGCCTCCCACTGCCAGCCTGACACTCTGCCTGCTTAGACCCCCCTGGCTTCACTGGGATGGGCTCTGAGGGAGGAGAGGACACAGCCCAGAGTGATGTCAATGTTCCTGTTTGTGCACTGCCAGCACAGGCTCCTGCAGCACACCCTGCTCTGGGAAGGAGAGGAAAAAACTCTTCAAAACCATTGAAACTGTTCAATTGGTTGCTGCTGGGGCTGCTGCAGTCCTACATCAGCTGCTGACTGCAGGGACTGCTGTGGCCATGCACTGATCACAACAGCAAGGGCTCAGCCAACAGCCTGTACGGCAGGGAAGCCACCTGAGCTCACCTGCAAACGCTGAGAGGGCACAAACAGCATGCAAACAAACAAATACAAAAAGGAAAGCACAAGGAATGGAAATCCAAGGGACTGGTTAAGCACAAACAACAAAGAAGCAACTTTTAAGCATCTGTAGCTGGCTTCTGAAATTGAATATTTCTTTACAAACTGCTGTGATGCCCGTTAAAGGCACATGTTCTCTTATCACATTAGGTGTCAAGGACCAAGGCTTAACCTTTCCATTGACCACTGGACAATCCCTTGCCTAGACCGCAGCAGAGGAGCTGGACTGCCAGATAAGGAGCTCCAGCCATAAAAGATTAAAAAAAAAATATAAATTAATCAGAATTCTTATTATGTCTTAGAAAATCTCATGGAATCTCTGCATAATTCAACAGTGTGATATGAAAAATGCAAGAAAACTGAAAACTTATAGTTCAATAAATCTGTTCTAAATCACAAGAACAATTATCTTACGTTCACAGCATATAATACCAGGACTATCTGCATGGAAGGAAGCTTTCCTCCATCCACCCAAAAGTGCTTAGAAAGGGGCTCAAACAAGGTATTATTTCCCATGTTGGATATTCAGCATCATTTAAACTATTTGATTTCAGAAAATACTATCAGCAGATGTGAAAAGTTCACTCTGACAAAATAATCACCGTATAGATCTGTTACTTTAATTTTTGAAGGCAGAGCAGCAGCAGTACAGATATTTTTAGTTTAAATTCAGCAAAATCTCCAATTAATTAGTTTAAAACTAAAGTGACATTTTTCATTACAGAAATTATGTGGAAATAGGGGAAATAAATTTTTGCACCACTTCTTTTTTTCTGTTAGGAATTGAGACTTTGCAGAATCATACTTGAAATTATAGTTTATTTGAATGAAAAATGTAAAAACTTGATTGTAAGTGATAGCAGGCAATCAATTGTCTTATGAATTGTTTGTAATTTTGTTCCTTCATACATATTTGTTGCTCACATAATAAAAAAGGAGATAGGTGTCATCACATTTAATACTATTCCAGGCATTTTGGCTGATAATCCTTTTAATGAACTCAAACTGCCCTAAAAATATTTATGCTTCTTTTTCTTTGCACTGAAGCCACTTGACAACCTCACCAGTGTATTCCTTCGTTCATTCTCAGCCTAACACTTGCATTGACATAGAGTTATTCCTGCACACTTGAGAGTTCTGATTTCCCATCTCCACAAGATCTGGTTTAGAAAGGACTGCCTGAAAGCTGCCTCTTGGTAAGGTGCCAAAGTCGATAGTGCTTGGTGGGAATGGCTGTGGGCCTGGAGTTGAGAAAGATGTTTTCCTAAAAATGTGCTTGGTGTTGCTTGGTTGGTTTGTTGGTTTTGTTTTGTTTTGATTTTTGGCTGCACAAGTGATGGAAGAATCCTGTAAAAGGAAAGGAGCTTAATCCAAACAGGATCCAAATAGCTGAGGCTGTTGAGGACCATGCTCAGGGATGACCCAGCATCTCCAAGAGTACAGAGAGCTCCATCCTCTGGGCATCCTGTTCCAACACTCATCCATTTATAGAAATCTTTCATGTCAGAATGGATGCAGATGTTGAACAGGCTCTTAGGTGGCTCTTACTGCAATTTTAATCATTTGTGACAGGAAATATTTGGGGTTTTCATTTTAAAGATTAAGAAGTAAATAAAGCAATAAAATAAAAGTATAAATTAATTGCCAACGGTAATTATTGAAATGAATTCATTAATATCAATAATTATCAATATTCCATAGTTTTGTTGCACCACAAGTGCTATTTAAATGATATGCTTATTCACTGTACCAGCAGTAATTAACAATAAAACACAATCTTGGGAGAGAGTTTACAAGTGGCTGGTAAATTAAAATATTTAGATCTTTACTCTTTAATATGGAAAGCAACATTATTGTCTTAAAAGACACAATAAATCACGAAGTACTGCATAGTTTTTGGGCATTATTAATAATTTTCTTTAATTTTTTTGCTTAATGAAGTGACAGAGTTCTTTAATTTAAATGAAAGAAAATTGATTGCAATGGATTTAAGAGCCTAGCATTCAAATATACATTTAGTTATTATATTCATAAATAAATACCAACTGCCATCCCAATTGAGGAAAATAAAAGAACTGACTAACTGGATATTAAATCTAGCATTAAAATTGATTACCTATCACTGAATGCTTCATAAGTGAGAAGATATTAATAATTTAAAATATTCACTGTGGTGGTTACACAGTATTTATAATTTAGGGTGCTCTCTCCTCTAAGTAGATTTCAGTAAGATGAAATGGCAGCCTATCACAGGAACAATCATCTATTCAACACAAAGAGTGTAAAGACACTACTGAGAAACTGTCAGCACCACTGCAAATATGTTTTTATACTGCCCACATTTTTGATCATCCATTTAAGGAGAAATGGTGAACATTCAGAGCAGGAACAAGGCAATCTGAAATTCACAGCTGAAAAGCAGTTCCTCTTGCTCTAAGTTATTGCCAGACATACATTAAGAAATTGAATTTATTTTCACAGCTGCCTAAAGCTGTGCAGATGGGACACACTTGTAAGAAGAAGGGAGTCATTAGGACCAGTCTGCAGTGGAACCTACATTTTTGAAGGTCCTCCCTGGTTGTCAGGAAGTGCCAGCCAGCAATTCAAACAAGCTTCTGTCCTGATCATCTACAAGAACTGCAGAGCAGCTGGAATTTCCAGCGAGGAACCCACCCTTGCTCCTCTTTCCCTAGCACCCAGCATTAGTTCCCAAGACCTAATGACTCCATGGCAGGCAGATTGTCAGTCACAGGTAAGCATGTGCTTGTGACAAAGTTGTGAGGAGCTCCCAGGCAGCATTTAGCAACCAGATCCTTTCAGTGCAGAATGGATTTTCACCCTCAGCTGGCACATTCAGATCTCTGCTCCAGTGAGCATTTACTGTCCTAGGCAGCAACAAACAGGTATGGGAGAGGCAGAACTGGAGAGACTGCAATGTCACTGTTAGTTCAACACTGCCCTTCAACAGACGTGTTACTTGATCACTGCATGTTAATGGCAATCTCTGGGAGCAGCAGGGATGCTCATAAGGATCAAAAAGTGATTAGAAATGACAGTGACTTCAGACACAAGAGTTATGTCATGTACTTACTGGAGATGCATGTACTTGTGTTATTCTTAACTGGTTTTCCAAATCTTGAACTTTATTTTTCAGTTCTGCATTTTCAGTTTCTAATTCTTGAATCTACAAAGCAAATGGTTATTCAACAGCTGTTGGGATAGTCATGGATTTCAACAATAGCATCCACTGAGCATAAGTTTCATCAGAGGTCTGGTGATTTAGAATCATGGTTTAACTTGTTATCTGACTGTAAAACATATTTAAATTTCAGTATCCTTCATATTTCAACCTTGCTTTTTTAGTATCCTTACAGGACAGCAAAACATAAAATATTTTTTAACACTTTTTCTTCAGTTTTTTTTTATTTTTTTTTACTTTATCAATCTGAGAAATTATGCTTCCATATAAAGCAGATAATACATATACAGCAGCACGTACTTTTATCTCTTAAAAAGAACAACATAGTTCAGAACTTACTCTTTTCTGTAAACCTGCAATTTGTTTCCTTGTTTCAACATCTTTTCCTCCGGATTCCAGAAATTTCCTGTAAGCTAAGTCAAATGCTTGACCAATTGTTAAAGTTATCTCTTCCGCCTTTACATAAAACATAAGACTGAAATTAGTAAATTCGGAATATTTGCTGGAGCTCCTTTCATTTCAGAAGATCACAAAATACTTTATACCATGTATCATATCCAAAGGCTTTGCCCCATCCACCATGAAGCCAACACTACAAAGGAGCATGAAAAGCACCCCTCAGCAAAATACCTTGGCAAAATGTTATGAAGGAAAGCAAAAGTACTTTGGGGTATTTGAAAAAAAGTGCCAGGACACTTTTACTTTGGAGTATTGAAAGAAAGGAGATTGGACAGTATAAGTTATGTCTTTAATTTCCTTAAACACAGATCCCATACTGCAGAATGGCTTTTCCTGATGATTTCTGAAGCAAATACAGCCTGCTCAATCATCAAAGTCTTTTAGATTTAATGAAATAATGTCTTCATGTCAATGGATATTTTGACCCCTATTGGTTTTAAATCTGGATTTCAACACTTATTTTGGTGAGTACTATAAAAGCTCACTCAAAATACTGCAGACAAGTATTTATCTGCCCAATTATTTCCAATTACATACATCCAGAAAAAAAAAATCCACAGAAACTGCATTTTTTATGTGCAAAGTATACTAATTCACTACTTCTGTGCTGATTCATATCCTATGTTATGATGTGTTTATACAGTCAATGCTGTATATCTGTGTCAAAAATGATGGGGGTAAAATAAGTATACAGGAAGCTGATGGAGGACACCAAGGTTTCAGAAACAAATGATGCCAAAACAGGACCAATAAAAGGTGAACTTATGGATACAGCACTTGCTTAGAACATGAGCAGAGAAAGTAAATACAGTAAGGAATAACTGTTCTGTCTCAGACACCAGAGAATGTCAGTGCTTGGTGCAATGAGTTCTCTGGGAGTGCTTTGTGGTAAACTTCAGAGATGTGGCAGGGAAAGGGGCAGACAAAGAAGGGAGAACCTTGCTGTGATAAAATAGTAAGAAACCCCAAAACAACAAACAACACACAAAAACCCCAATACTAAAACCAGAGACAGACACATCAGCAGAAAAGCCTGCAAGGGTATCTCAGCCCCAGAACTGCAGTAATCTTTGCAAACAGCTGTGCAAACAGCTCAAGCCTGGTGGGATGGAGCCTGTTCTCCAAAAGTATTTTGCAGACGCTTCCCCCATGATGCTGAGCTCAGCACTAAGAGAAATTATCCCAGAAAACCATCTCAGATAACTGAAGAGACTCTTTCTCAATTTACTGCATCTAAGTTGCAACACACCATACTGGCATGAAAAATTGAGTCCCAGTTAAAAGGGAGGCTGTCTCTTTTTAACCACTCCCACCTCATTTCAAGGCTGACCCATCAGCAGCACAGTGACCTCGAGCCCTGCAGAGCGTCCCGTGTACTTACACACTTTTCACTGTCAAACACATAGCACAGGTGCTTATTTGATTCTGAGTCTTTGCATATGAAAGTAAATATTCTCTTGTCAGTTTTGTCATCAGCACAAAAGGATATCCTGTGGAGCTGGCAGTTGTGCTGGACCTCCTGCAAACAAACAGAAAGGTAATTTTTGAGAAATTGTAGCACTCACTTAGGATAAAGATACAGAAAGGAAAACTCTGGATTTCCTTATAAGAGCAGGTAAGCTGCAGTAATGTTTTTGAATGTCTCTTATTGTACATGAGAGCACCCAAAAAATGAATCTAAAATGTAACAGAAGTTAGCAAACTCATCTCCTAAAAAAAACCACTCCTGTTTTTACTGAATGTAAACAGGAAGTTATTATTTGGACAGCATTTATCTGGAAGTGTTTATTTGGACAGTAATTTCTGTTCTAGAAAATTGATTTCTGTTGCCTTGCATCCCTCTGCAATTTATTTAGGGCCTGATTATGTAAAATAATCTGTTCTTTTTCCAGGTGAACACATGTTTAAATTTCATCATCTCCCAAGGTTTGTTAAAATGGATTTACTGAAATGAGTCCTTTGCTACATTAAATATAGAGAACAGAAATAAATCTGACATATAAAATGTCATGCAAATACTGTTTCCTTGAGGTGTCACATAAGCAGCTTCTAAGCATTATTATTTGCATATTTTTGCTACTCTGTTTAATTTTCCATTAAAAAGCAAGTTCCAGCCATTTAAAAAGTTGCAATGGCAATTCTCTTCAGCTGGGAGAGCTTGACAAGACTGAAATAAACTATCTCAACATTTTTTTTTGTTGTTTTTCTGCAAGAAGTCTCTTCTTGGTATTTTATTTTATTTTATTTGGCTTATTACATGGGAAAGCGGTATTTGTTTTAAAGGAAAATATGTCGCTTAGATGTGAACTATTATCTATTAAAAAAGAAAATCTCTGCAGCACTGGGGTTCCCAGCTTGCTGTAAGCCCATAAACAAGGCCATGCACACAACCACATAGCCAAAAAATGCACCCTATGGGCAATCTTTTCCCTTTGCCCCAAGTGAGTTCATTTTCTCAGTCTTTACAGCTGTTCTGAGTATTCTGTTTCTCCCATGTCCCAAATCTCTGTCCTGTGGTAGCTCCTTAACACACAGAAATAATAACCTGTACTTGCCCTGTGAGGCACTATGAGGCTTACAGAGCCTTATAATTATTTTATATCATTTAAGGACAGAACCACTTTTCTATAATCCTTTTTTTGAGTGCCAAGTACAGAATCAGGTCCTGATATATGAGCTGGCCTCTTGTTCCTACTGCCATTAATAGTCACTATGTGACTAAAACTCAGTATTCCTCTTTAACATTCTGAAGTGCTTTGTTTCAAAAACACACTGCAAAAAAGACTTTAATTAGTCCTGATAACAAGAAATTGAATTTCCTAAAGCATTTATAAACTGTGAGAAAAAGAAGGAAAACTCAATTGAAATTTACATGCAGCTACAAGAACCTAAGTGGGGGAGATAAAAAGACTGCTCACAGACGATTACTACTTGAGTTGTAATAACAACATTGCTAAGAGATTAGAATGTCCCTACTCTCCCAGGAACATATATCCCACAGCTTTCTGTTAATCTCTGCAGGAAGGCTAAGATCCTTTGGCATTTCAAACTGTTATTTTAAAACAGTTTTTGCCAGGATATGGCGTTTAGCACCCCCATCTGCCCTACGGCATAAGGAAGATGCAAAAACTCCAATTAAAGTTGACAGGGATATTTCTTGTCCACTCTGTTTTTGTATGAACTGTTGAGTTCTGGTTGTGTAAAGAGTCTGAAGCAAAAAGGAGCTGCAAGCATCTCTAGCTTTGAACTACAGCTATCATTTGAGGAAAGACACTGCTACTGCCTGAATGCATCAATTAATCTACAATTAAGAAGCAGGAACAAAAGAATTTCCCAAATTCAATATTCAACATATATATGGAAAGGTTTTTATCATATGCAGTGTTAACATTTATTTGGATAATTGCTTTAATCTTCCTCCAACTTTAAAAGTCCTGCTCTAAGAGGATTAAAAAAATTGAATACCACATTAGGTACAGTGTGCCTTCAGGACTATCATGTACCTTCCTGGAAAGATGTCACCCAGGTGTTGTAACAAAACATGATATTTTAGAAGATTTTTTTTCCATCAACAGGATGGATTTTGTTATAATACCTTAAACAATGAAAATCTTAAAACCAGTGAAACAAATATTTACTAGTTTAGCATGAAAATGTATGTCTCTTACCTTTGTCTTTGGATCTAGAATTTTTACACCATAGATTGAGATTTGTAGCTCAACTTTGGGTGTCTTTTGGCCTTCAGATTTCTTGATATGTCTTGCAAACTGAAACATGAACAGCAATCATAAGTTTATTTATTTTATTAATTCTCATTTTCCCTCAACTCTCTCCACCTGAAGTTGTTTCCTTCCTTCTTCAATAAGCTTCTCATAAACAACACCAACAAGACTCAATTCCATTCTTGGACAATTCCAAGAGTCTCAGTTGGGCACAGACCAGCATTTCTAATTGTACACTACAGAATGTTCCTAAAATTCAGGAAGAAGTGTTTTAAAATTACTTATTATGTTCCCCTGAAACTTTTATCTGTTTTCTACGCACTTAATTGAAGCATAGCAGCAGAATCATGAACACTTTCAGTTTAGCAGCAGCTTGGTTGTTGAGTGAGGAAGATCAGTGTGTTTTCCACACCCCACTATTTCTAAACTCACATCCATACTCGTACATGGAGGATACTTCCAGATGTTTAAGGTATTCCACTGTTTTAAACAGTTTGGGTTTCAAACAGGGTCAGTTTGAAAGCACTACAGCTGTTAACACCTAAGAACTACTCAATCTATTTTATTCTCAGAATTCATCTGCCTGCAGCCCACTAGATGATGGCTACACAGCAATTTATATGTCTGGGCTGGGTAATGTCCTATCCAATATGATTTCCATCCTTTTCTATCTCCTTTTCTAGACTTACTTCCCTCTCTTTCTCTCATGAACATTGCCTATGAAATCAGCACAGTATCTCAAATCTTTCAAGACAGTTAAGACAATCTTTCAAACTATCTTTCAAGACAGTTAAGAAGTGCCCTAAATTTGAGTACCTCTCTTAGCAAATATATGTGATTGCTCCATGTTTTGCTCTATTACCAGAGCAGAATGTTGCCCTTTCACCCTCAAGTTTTTGACAGCCTGCAATGGTATTTTCAAATGCTTAAATAAGGATGATGATCCACTGAAGGCCAGAAGTCAGAGCCTCTCCTTCAAAGCTCTATGTTTGAACACATTATCCTCAACATTCCCATTCAAGAATGAGCTGGGTCAGTACAAACACTCTGTGTCAGAAGTCAGTGTGGACAGTGGCTTTTAGTGCCATCAGTAATCGAGGGTGACACCAAGGGTGCTGTCCTGTCAGACCTGGAAGACACGAGCCTGAATTGCCTTGTGATTGTGAAGTGCTCAGCTGTAGTCAACTGACACGTCTCCCACAAATCCTTAAAAATTCTGATTAATTATTCATTTAAGTGATAGTTCAGGGTTTGGATTTTTGCTCTGATCTTTTCCCAACTAGTACTTGGAAAACCTTCTCATAGCACAGGTGATTTACATAATATGACTGTCAATCTCTTTTATTTCATTTTGCTTATGGGCAGCTTCATTCATGGCAAATTATTAACTCCTCCCTAAAAACACAGAATGAATCTGGTTTTTTCCTTCCTCCCAATTTTATTCCTCATTTTGAAGGCATACTTTGGACTTTTAATGGCTAAACATTAATTAATAATTAATCCTATTAACTTCACATGGTAACAGGACTTACCCAGACACTCCATAATTGATTAATGCACTCCAATAGCTGATCAGTATCACACACTTGGTAAAACAAACAGAATCCTCCCACCCCAAAACCCCCCAAACAACTAACCCCCATCTAAACCACTCTGTGCCATTCTCAAAAACAACTCCTAAATATAAATACCTATTTTGCATTTCAGCATCTAAAACTGCTACTGTCACTGGCCAAGTATTTTATAAAGATTCATACAGGATGACTTACTAGTGAAAACCACCTAGTTGAGAGTCAAGAAAATATAATTTCTAGTTCTGCCTCTTCAGCAGAATTTATATGGCATGTATATATATGCCTCTTGCAACACATCCTTTTCCCATCTATTTAACTTCAAGCCCATATCTTGCTATATACACTTCTAATACACATTAACCCCTGTATTTTTATTAAGGTTTCCCATTCCATATGCATCCTTTATATTTTGCAAAAAATATTTTATAGAAAATATGATTTAAAAAATCGTAATTGCTGTTTTACAGCATTTTGGCCAATGACATCTGTTGACTTTAAAGGACAATTAAAATTCACTACAGAGAAAAAAAATGTTTTATTTAATCAAAATCACTCATTAAACCACACAAAATCTGTCCTAATTTTTATACTGCAAATTTAGCCTTCTAAGCTTGTGCTTAAAGAGGAAAAATATAGGACAACCATTGTTTTATTTGCACAGATTATTTTTTTCCAAGATGAATATAAAACTTAAAGTGTCTTTAGATAATTTTTAGATCATGCATTTATTAATTAGCTGCACTCTGCCAGCTTTCCTCTCTGATTTGAAATTTCCTGACGCCCCTTCACTGGGTGGGACTTTGAGGACAAGTGTGATCCCTTTTCTCAGTACTCTGCATTTTGCCAGGTTAAATGGAATGACTACAAAAATGATCCAGAGATCACCCAGACAGTTTGGACATCTCAATTCCCAATGTACTCAATGGTGCCCAGAGAGACAGCCATGGAACAGATAACCCCAGGGCACAACTCAGCCTGAAACAGCCTGGAACTTGAGCAAATGCTTTTGGAAATGTCCCTTTGCAAACAAGTCATGCACCAGTATTTCTGTGCAGTAGAGAAAACACAAACAATGTTTGATTTTAGTGCATTAAAGTCATGGTATGTATTGAGAATGATGATGGAATGCTTGATTTTCCAACAGCAATCATCTCAGAGTCTCAAACAACAGTTACAATGTGAAAAAGTTGTAGTTTTTAAAGAAAGTAAGTTTTAAGGAGAAAGGTTTTAAAGTAAGGGATGTGAATAACTTGCACAACTTTTAGAACAGCTGGCCAAAGCTTGCTCCAAGTAGTCAAGACTTACAGCACTGAGGAAGTTCCAGAAGGCAGTTCTGAGCCAATTCTAAAAAAAGGGTGAACAAACTGACCCTACCACGTCGCCACTCTCAAAAAGCAGAAATCCAGTTCAAGAACTAAAGAGTTCAAGTGAGATGAAATTAATGATGATCAATATTTTACAAAAAATGCAGCTTGTCTCCAAGTAGACAAAGCATCTGCATTTTGTATGCCATTATATTTAAGAAAGTGAAGCAATAGAAAGAAAGTATGAGTTAAGTTAGTTACATTAGTCTCCAGATGTAGTTATAAACAGGAAATTGTCATTGGGAAGATATGTTTCTAATGTATTCCAGCAGGGTTTATTTCTTAAGCATGACATTATTGAACAATGACCAGGAGAAAAATAATTACTGATAAAATCTGCAGGCAGAAAAAATAAGAGAAGAAAAAAAGGGGAAGAAACTAACTAATGATCTGAAATCTAAAATTGTTACAGAGGAAGCTTGCAGACCACAAAGACTGATGAAGGGGCAAATAACAGAGAGAACCCTCATCAACTGGAACAGATTGGTAACCCAACAGAGCCCGCGAAGCAAGCCTGCAAATCCCACATGTGGTAACAAACTTAGGTGCTTGGGAGACTTCCCTGTGAGGATGGAAGAATGAAGTCTTGATAACTTGGTAGGATTTCCACTAACTGAGGACCTTCTCATGAAACCTAATCTGGGAAGGAATTTCGAAGAGATCCGTGAGATGGCAACAATCGCTGCACTGGATCAGCTGCTTGTGAGAAAACACTCAAATGTTATCTGCTGAGGGCTTTAAATGCAGAAGGATGTTGACAAAAATTCACAGGATATTTACCAAAGTTAGCAGAGGGCTGGAAAACCCGCTTTAAGATGCCCCATAAAATCAAAACCAGGCCAATGGTGAAAGAAACCAGTCACAAAAGAGCTCATTCCACACAGACATCCAGACAAATGAGCTTTTCAATCAAAGGTTTTCTGGGTAAAGTGAACTGCACATAAAGATTAATTCAGAAAATCTGTGGCAGTTCCCTTCTTAGCATTTTTCCTGCCCACTGTCCTGTGCAATAACAGATAGCACACAGATACTGATCAGCAATTTCTCTTATATCTGACATTCTCCAGAATGCCACATTCAGCCACCTCCCAAACTTGTGTGGGGTTTGAACAGCACATCCCATCACTGAGTCAGGTATCAGGAATTTTCTCTTTTATTAATTTCTAGTCGTTCCTTCTACCTAAGGGACTATTCTAACCCCAAGGGGCCTCTGGACCTGGGAGGTGAACAAACATTATATTTTCCTATCAGCACACATTTGAAACCAAGAAATATTTGTATCTCACACAGTAACAAGATTATTTAAGAGGGTAAAAATCTGCAGCCTCCCATTGGCATCAAAATGGAAAATGATATAAAATTATAATGAATCACAGCATGGCTTGGGAAAAGACACAATGGGCCAAATTCTTAAACTGTTAGTTTATACATATAATGTTCTCAGGCACGAACCCCAGGTTTGGTCCAGCTCAGTGGGATGGGCTAGTTTGTGTTCAACAGCTTCAGAATTAATATTAGATTTTCATGGCATTTTTAGGAAAAGGAGCAGATACAAATAAACCTATTTTCTACAAATTAACTTAGCTTTAAAAATAAAGACAACAAAAAACACCCATATATTTTGTAATTTATCACAGCAGCAGGGGAAATTGCATACTCTAGGAGTCTTATTAAAATTAAATTTGATGTGTTTATGCATCAATTCTTAGCAAACCACAACCAGCAAAAATGCCATGAGGAAAAAAAAAATCATGTTTTCAAGACAGCCAGGAACTGGAGCTAAAGAATTAATTGTTAAGACTAATTATCTCTATATATCTATAAATCAATTTAAGCCATACAATCAAAACAAAACTATGTGCTTCTCTTTAATATTTACACCTCCCTGCACAATTCAAGGTTTAATTAAAAATACTTGAGACATCAAAAGGGAGATGTTCCTGCAATTTGGATGCTAATCTTCATCCCAGGGAAAAGAGGTTCAGCTCTTTCATTTAATACAGGTGGATCAATGCCAAATCAGACATTGGACTTTACACCTTAAAAGAGCCCTGGTTTAGGGCAGGGTCACTGGATAAGTTGGGAAACAGCTTTGTAACCTGTCTTGGAGAAGATGCTTTTCTCCTTTTTTCCATTAGAACATCCATTATAAGGAAACATTTCTGAAAAAACCCAAACAGGCCCTATTTTTTTTTTTTTTGCAGTGGTTTTGTGTCATCTAATTGGTCGTGTTATGGTCCAAACTCTCATGGAGGTTTGATGTGGGCATAATGAAACCACGGCCTCTGAAAAATAGCTGTCAAGAGGAGGAAAAGGGTGAAAAGGCCACTGATATGCAAAATTTAATCTCTCAAGAATCATCTGGGCAGGGAAAAAGCCATCCAGAAGTGTGTATCTATGGAATAGGTTGTATTTTATTTTCCAGACACACACTGGACTGAGAGGAAGGATATTACCCACATCTATTATCCACAGTGTAGAAGACTGTGCAGTCTTTTTTTCCATCTCTCACTTCCTGACAGACATTTTGTGTTTTATTTGGGGGTGGCCTGCTTTGTTGTTGCTGTTCTGAGACCTTTTGATTATTTTGTGTGGTGGCATGGAGTTCTGGGTGTTTGTTGGGGTTTTTTGGTTTTTTTTTGTTTTTCCCTGGTTGGTTAGTTGGTTTTGGTTGATTTTTTTGGGGGGGTGAGGGGGGGGTGGGGGAAGGGTTTCATTTTTTTGTTTTTTGAGAGGCAAGATAAACACGTATTTTCTTATTCAGCTCTTCCCATTTGACTTGCTTTGGTCTTCAGGATGTCCTTGACCGGTCCTGAACCACAAATTCCGCTTTCTGCAGTACTTTAAAGAGAACAGTCATGGCTGGAAGGCTTGGCTGCAAACCTCTTTATCCCAATATTAAAAGCTTCTCTGTACTCCACCCTTCTCTGTCCTTTCAACAACAAATGAAGCTGAGCTTTAACATGGAAGGGAGCTCAGAAAAATATCCACGGATGGTCATTTAAGGGCAGCAGCAGGACAGCATCTCTGCGTGTGTGGAAGTGTGTGAACTAGTGTCTTCACTTTGTGTACCCTTAGAGGTCAAGGACATGATGAAAAATATTTCAAGTGGTTTCAAAGTGATTCATTCTATTAGCATTTTGTCTGGTCATCTCCACTTACAGAGGAAAAGAGGAAGAAGAAAAGGATAATGAACTGAAAGCTGGGTAAGCAAACAGCCATAAGTCTGGCCCTCACAAAAACATCCCTTGGCAGACTGTGGAAGAAACAGCCCAAAACTCAGGTCTTGGATCAAATTCATTCCTACAGTCTGATGGAGAAGTTACAAACTTCACTAATCAAGGAAAGTAATCATTTCACTTAAAAAATAATGTGTGATTTGACAACATGTAGACAAGTATTTGAGTACCGTAGGCATGTTTGGATACAGCAACTGGGTGCCACGTGCTTTAGTTTTTGTATCATTCTAGAAATAAGTTTGACTAGAAAACTTGAAGGAAAACATGGTTTGTAATAAATTATGATAGTAGTTCACCTTATCTTACAAATAAATAAACGCATTGTAAAACATTAGTGTTCAACTTGCTTCTTTTTTCCTGCAGTACAGCTCCAAGCACTTGGAAAACACAAGGGGAAATGCTACCTAGATAAAGCCACTGCAGAATCCTCTAGAAAAATTAAGCATAGTTGCTTGGAAAAAATTGTCTTCTAATTGCAACTGTCCCAGAAAAATTGTCAAGAAAATATAAGAGTGTTTGGGATAAAAGTACAATGAAGCATCAGAAAAAAGTTTGTCCAAGATATTTTATGTTTCTGTAGAACATCAGCTCCATCTGCTGGGAAAAATAAGTTTGTGGAACAGCAGCTGCAGTTTCTGTGCTGGGCAACCCAAATTTTTGTGCTGAGTTAAGGGCTTTAGATTTAGAGAAGTAAACAGTTGTATATCAAATCTTGACTCTGACAGTTTGGTGACACGAGGGCTTAAGAAAAATGTTTTCTGGTGGCCGTGTTTTGTGGTCTGGAAACTGGAAGCATGTGACTTCAAAAGCTTATTAGAGTGATGAATGCCACTGCTAAAAATAGTTCTCAACATCAAGAAAGTGTCATTTGTTTTTCTGCTAGCTATTAATCTTAATTTAAAACAAGTTATGATTAATCACATTGCAATTAAAAGCAAATTTAGATTAAAAAATATAAATATGGCATCAGAAGCTACATGCCTTCTAAAAACTTACCCCCAAACCACTTTATATTTCTTCAGTATTTCTTTCTATATGACATTAGTTTTTCAAGCTGTTTTAATTGCTGAAAAATTTTCAATTAGCATTTTCAAAAAACAAACTACAGATGTGTGCTTAATAAAAAAGTCCAGTACCTCTAGGCTTCTCTTCAAAGACTACAGATGCATAACGTAAGTCTGTCTTCAATGAGTATTCAATTAATTGGGGATTGTTTCAAACATAAAAGTCTTTTCATTGCTCTCTGAATTCTGTTCCAAGATTTTTCAAGTCCTTCCAAAAGTCATCTTTATTTACTTGGGAAGTTCTCTAATAAACTGGTGATTATGTAAGATCTCATGCAATACTTGTAATCTAAGCTCCAATATTCCAGACTTGAAGAAAATAATGTAATTCTGGCAGCAACTACTCAGACTTCTATCTCCAAGGTGGTTTACTTAGGGAATGTATGTAGAAAGTTAGAGCAGGTATCTACACACTCCAGTGACACCATAAACATACACACAACATTTCTGAGAGCAGTTATTTGAAATCCTTTTTGGACCAGCTCTCAGAGGAAACCATTTCCACATATGAAATCATAGAATTCAACCCACCCAAAGCCTCCAGTGATCAGGGAGAGCTGAGGCCAGCCTGAGTTTCCACCAGTGAGATGGAGGCACTCAGCATTTGGTTTATTCAGGAGTCCAATAAAACACCATTAAAGCAGGTGCAGAGCTGCTGCATAGCAAGAGATCACTGTGATGGATTTCTGCACAGAACTAACTTTGCTTGGGGTATTGGAATTTTATAAAGACCAACTGCACAAGGTGCACACAAACCCACATATTTTGTTTCCACTGACAGAATGCTGCAATGCTTAAAAAAAGGGTCAAACTTAGCTTAAAACACATGAAAACAGCTAGGCAATGACTCTAACTGCAGCACAATAAAGTCTTTTTGGCACGAAACACTAAGAATCAACTAAATGAATCTTTAAAGGCAACTGTACTATTTTGATAGAGTGAAAACAACAGCAAAGAATGAGTTTCAATACCTTAGTAAGATTACTGATCCATCTTCTAAAGATGGCTTTCTCAAGGGAAAACTGAGCCTTAAAAGCTGAGCTACATGAGTAGTCTCTGTTTCCTTCCTGCATTTTTTTAGTATGGTAATAACACAATCAATTCTTTCAATATTGACTCCCTGTATTTCCTGCCCATTTCCAAGGAACTTGTTTAAATGAATAATAAAAACTCTGCAAAAAAAAAGTAGTTATGAAAAATGCAATAGTAGAGAGAAAGATTTCTGCATCTAACTAAACTGAAGGGCCACTAGCTCAGAGCAGCTAAGCATGAAGCAGTGCAATTCCACAGGAACAAGGCAGAGGAGTGGAGTGGAGCAATCAGCATTCCCTGCCCCAGCTCACAGTGTCTGAAGAGCTCTGAGCTCACCAGCTCTCACTCAGCAGTCAAGGTAAAGCCACATTAACTGAAAACAACCCTCCACAAGTCATTGCACTCAGATATTTTTAGTTGTCCACCAAGTCCCTTGGTGCCCAAGAGGAAATTGCAAAAGCCTGATTCTTTCAGCCATAGCTGGGGATGGCAGCTAAAACAAATTCTTGCTACCTCAGCTTGGATTAATGAAGCCCTAAACCTGCCTGAAGAAGAAGAAGCATTACCCACTGAAGTACATTAACTTTATAAATATTTCTGAATAATTGTATAATCTGTAAGACAACTCAATATTGTACACAGCAGAACACCTGAACATACAGATATAAGGAAGAACCTACACACTAAAGAGATTAATAAAAGCAACTACTTCTAGAGCCAGTAAATTCACCTAGAAAACCTACAAAGTGTCTGAGTTGTGAAAAGAGGTTAAGAGTACATTCCATTTATGTTTCATTCAAAATTCTTACCTTTAATTTTCTAACAGCATCTCTTACAACTTCTGTGCCTTTGGGCTGCTCCACTTCTGTACTGCCTAGAAACTGAAAATATTGTAATTTGTGAGCAGTAAGTTATGCATTTAAAGGCCTAATCAACTTGAGTAATCTTATTTTCTAATTATTTTCTAACAGCATTTTGGAAAGGCAATTGTTTCAGTAGTCGATAAATAAAAAACCTTCACATAGCTATTTTTAATCCAGAAAATATCAAGAATGAAATTTTATATTAACATTAGCATTTTCAAAATTGACTTTAAAAACACATCCTATAGAAATCTGTAAATTAGAGATTCAAGTACCTTTTTCCACCGGAAAATTACCACTTTGGTAATAATTCTTATTAGAAAATAATGAAAAAATGCATACCAAATACAGATGGAAGATACCTCCCATGAATCAACACGAGCCAATCATTTGGACTACGTCACTAAAACATTCATACAAGATGTAAGATAAATTAAAAGAACTGATTTTCCTCTCAGAGCTGCTTGGTATAGTAACTTCACAGATTTACTGGAACTAGGCTCCAGCTTATGTAAAACACGAGTCATTTTCAAGTAGTTTCTATTGCAATTCATATTTTTACCACGTGAGGTTTTAATGAAAACCAAACACATGTTGTTCCATATATAAAGCATAACATTGCAAAGGGACCTTAATTCTTTATTTGTACTCTGAAACGCTTTTATTTTCGCCACAGTCACACTTGCCCCCTACTGCACTGTTACAAAAGGTATGATAATCCTTCCTGAAACCCACCTAAGATACACCAATTGATTTTCTATTGCCCAATTTTCACACAGAAGTACAGTTAAGTCACACCATGTACATGTACATGCTAAAATAGTGCTAGGGAAGAAACCTCTCCTTTTTTCCCAAAGTACATTTTTCAGTCTACCATGACATACAGAGGCATGTACAATTTTTAAGTCCTAGATATTTTGAAAGGAATTTAAATTTGCTAAGATACAGACAATTTAAACAGAGTAACTCTGAAGTTTTTAGTTCTACTAAACCTTCCAAACATGTCTAGTGTAGTCAGTGTGCTCAAGGTACTCCTGCAAAGAAACTGCAGCTCCACCAATAATGAAGCCTCATTTGACATTTGCTACTGACTCTGAAATACAACGTGCCACCTTGAAAACAATGGTGTGTAAATCAAAACACCATATGCACATCCACTGTCAATATTCTCAAAGGCTCTGCTATTGATTTGATGTCTGTCACACAACATCTCTGATGACTTTAGACCAAGGGGGTGATCTTGCCTGGAAAAGTGATAGCTGCACAAAATGCATGTAGAGAAGGAAGAATGATTCTTGGACATGATGGATATTGCACATGGCAGAGACAGAAAGGGAATGATGAGTGAGTATTTGTAAGGAAAAAAACCCCAAACCAGTAGGTAAGATGAGATGAGAGTGTATGAGGAAGGTTGAAACACCAACATAGATATCTGTACATAAGCACACACCACACATGACAGAATACAAGAGGCAGAATTGTTTTAAGTTTGTGAGCAGCTCAAGGTATGTGATACACGGAGCAGGAATCCTGCAGAAACACAGGAAACAAGAGCTGCAGGTGTGAACAAGGCTCAGTGAGCAGAGATCAGGTCACTGCTGCCCATGGAGAGGCTGCCAGCTGAGACAGATGCTTCATCCATGGCTGTTTCCTAATCCTTGTGCTGTTTTCAAACTGGCAGTACCAGCATCAGTGTAAGCAGCCCAGTATTTCTCAATACAGATTTAGGGCCAAGCCTTGGGTGGAACTGGGTCATACACACAGAGAGATGCCCCAGGTTATGATGCCTTGCCTTCAGCTGCTTCTCCAGAAGAGCACAGGGCTGCCCTACATTTTTTTATTTACCTACTTCCATCCAGATGACTGAGCTCTGATAAAGCTAAGAAAGAAACAGTCACTTCCCCATAGCTCTCCTCCCAGCTCTCTCCTCGGCTTCACAGTCCAAGAAGGATGAAGGCATCTTTGCTGTATTCAATAAATCCCAGCAGCAGACCAATCTTTCCACAAACAGTACCTTCCACAAATACAGTTTTCCCAGAGGCTTGTTCCTCATGCTAATTCACATTACTGCCTCAGAAAATGTAAGCATCAAATTAAGCTTCTGCCACAGTTGGGGAATCTGTTAAATGTCACTGAATTTTAAAGCTTATAGTAATGTTCCCCAAACCAGAAATTACCATTTATGATCAAGAAGGGGAGGGAGAAGTAGACTTCTAAACAGAAAGAAAAACTGCTAAAAGCACTTTAAAAGACTGACAAAACCTGAAGAAAAACTCTTTGTGTTTGTTCAGTAAGTTATGAAAGAAATAAACAACCAGGACTCAGAGAATATAGAAACACCATGAGTGTTATTATCAGCATTTATGGAATATAACCCACCAGAATTCTGTAAGTCATTCACTCTCTTCCAGATAAGTGTTGCTTTTGACATTAAGCATCACCACTGAAATTTCTATTGCTCTCAGCAGTTTTGAACTGGATGTGGAATTCAAGCTTGTGCATAATAAACTATTAGGCATAGGAAAATATAGTAAAACATGTTTAAGCCAGATATGCAAAGATTTGTAGCTTAAGTGCTAATACCATGAAAAATGACAAGGCTATAGAATGGATACACTGTTTGTATCTATTTCTAACTCTTTTATTGCAACTGTAGTTTTTTTTTTAATTCAGGTGTGTTCGAATTGCTTATATATTTCATGCTTGACCTCCCTTCTTAATTTCTTGGTAGGAATACTAAAATGAAAACCAGCAATTAAGGGGAGATATTCTGAATATTAGTATTAATTGGACTGTTCTGTTTGGGAAAAAAATTTAGATGGGATTTCACACCAAGACAGATTTGTAACAAAAGAATGACTATGCAATAAAGGCTTAACAAACAGCTAATGTTTTAATGGGAGGCTTTTTATTGCTTGCTTTTTCATCTGCTCCATACCCTTTCCATCTCATCTATCATCATTTTCTGTTTAATATTAGGTCCCAATTACTGTGGTATTACTCATGATAGTTAAGCTAAGCAAACAGATGTATTTGCAAAGCTGGGGCTTCAGCTGCCAAGGTCACCGTGCCGTTTGTACGGCCCCTGGCACAGCAGACACACTGGCTTCTAGGGGAAGCCACTAACAACTAACTCACCACCCTCATGGAATGGGAAGGTGGCCACTCCATCAAGGTCTTTTCAGCAGATTTTCCTCACCAAATCTCATAGAAACACAGACAATAAATATTTGTTATATCAGCAAGTTGGTCCAGCTGTGGCATGAATAATACAATTATTCAGCATTTTGTTGTTTCTGCAACAAAAATTTCAAAGCAAAGGGGGTAAATGTGAAACCTCCCATTCAAGCCTAGGCTCCTTTAGAGAGCAGTACTGATCCAGAGTTTTAGATGGGAACTTAGCAAGTCAGTGTTTGTTTTCAGCATTTGAGGTTCCCTTCTGCAACTCAACTCATGCAGAACAGCCAGCATATGAACTCCAAGTGTTTCCTGAGAGTGAAACTAACACAGCTCCTACACTTCACTGGATAAGAGGGAAACAGAAAATAACAGTTCTCCTTTAGATCATTCACTATTAATCCTAAATCATCCATTAAATGCTTAAGTGTTCTTTACATAAGTACTATGTTCAAATACATAATACAGCTGAAAAATGTTTACATATGACTGCTACATCTATTTACTGTCTGCAACTAGCAAAAAGGATTACTCTTGAGGCTGATGTACTCCATGCATAATATGCCTATTCAAACAGACACGATACATAATTTAGGCATGCTGCTAGACTCCAATATTTATGTGTTGTTTAGTATCAAGAATAAGTTCATCATGATCATACTGAATTTTCATTGGATACTTTAAAAAGTTGAAAGAAGATGACATTTAATCTTTTGTATAACATAAAGCAAGCTAAGACAATTTTCTTTACCACACATTCTTCACTGCAGTCTGCCACTCTTCCAAACATATTTCCTACAAAACTGACCAGCAGTTATTATCCTAATATATTACTAATTCTCATTTCACTTGCAGCTGTCTGCAATCAGAAATAAGTCTTATGAGACCAACAGATCCTATCAGTCAGAACCATTTAAGTGTTTCTTTAATGTACAGTGATGTTTGCCATGAAGAAAGTGATCTGTTGGCCAGCCACATACAAGACAAACACCTCAGATCAAACTCTTTCTAATCTAATATTAGAAGACAACCAGATGTGTACACTCCACCACATGCAAAGATTTGCAAGATAATGCAGCTGCAAAGAATTAACAGACACTATTTCAACATATTAAATCAACAGAGGTTTTATCACTGACAGCAACTGAGAGAAAATTCAGCCCTGTAATGGCCAGGAGGGCCGTCTTACACAACAGGCTATCAGACAGACCCTTTGTGGGGAATACCTTTGTCAGAATGTAGGTGACATTTCCCTAGTCATTAACATGAACAAGATTTTTTCTGGTCCAATTCCATTGTAAAATTATTAAAAATTGCTTTTAGAGTTGTACTTTGGCTGGAGATATTAAAATAAAAGGTAAATAATCTTTTACTTTGCTGGCTCAAGAAAAAGGCACTTCAAATGTAAGACAACTTCAGGTATCCAGAGTCCCTTACATTTCTGACAAGTCTGCTGCTGTTCTGATATGCCCAACAGGTCTCAGGAAGCCCAGGTGAATTGTTAAGGTTAGCAGTGCGCTTTTTTTCCATGACATTAGCAGGAAACTCTCCAGTAATTCTCCCCCTGGCAGCTTAGATTTTGACCCTCAACATTTTATTGGCTTTACATACGAAGCAGGTGCTTTTCTTCAGAGGTTAGGGGGGAAAAAGTTAGGGGGGAAAAAATACTCTATTCATGCTTAGGAAAAGTTAGCTACCAGACTAAAAAAAAAATAAAAAAATAATGAACTTGAGTCTTGATTTAGGAAATAGTTTTAGGTGCACTTCTGAATAGTTAATGTAGACTTCCACTCTTCCAGTAGAGAGCAGTGTAGGATATTTTAATAATAAAACAACATCTG